CACTCCTGCTGTGTTGTTGCCGAAGCCAGAGAACACTCGGGGTCTGTCGTCCGTTGACTGGGGTGACAGTTTAATAGTAGCTTCCTGGGCTGCCATTTAAATCTGCCTGCCAGGTTAGTAGGCCAGAGGCAGGCTGGCACGCCCCCTGCCCCCACCCCGGATCTTCGAGCTGCTGACAGCGGTTGTCTTGGCAACCCCAGGGCCTGGCAAGCTCTGCAGAAGGGTAACCATGGGGGGAGCAGCCCTTTCATCTCCCCGATTCGGGTACAAGTGGCCCAGCTGTCTCAAGGCTGGGCCGCAGGGCCGGAGCCAGGCCACCCGGAGCCAGGCTACCCTGTGGCTGGTCCGGGCAGGGAGAGGCAGCAGGGGCAGATGAGTCCCTTCTATGCCCCGACCTCCAAGGTGGGGCTTCGCATCTTTGCTCCCTCAAACCCTCCCCTGCCCAGGGAGGGGAGCAACACACCCAGCTGGCCTGGCAACAACTCGGAGCCAGAACCCACCTGGCCTACGGGTCTCCGCCCTCACAGGGTGCTCCCTGAGGCCCGCAGCCTGCCTGCAGGGCCTGAGGGCAGCCAGGGCCGGCATCCCCGACGTCCCGCTCAGCTCCCTGTCCTGTGGGGCCGGTGTCAGGCCCCCTCTCCCACCCTGGGCCCTCCCCTGGACACGTCCCTGCTCCGAGGACTGGGGTGTCCCCGGCAGTGTCCCCTCAGCTTCACTCTGGGCCGAGTGCTCTGTGAACACCATCTCCTGGTTTTCACTGCTTGGTGGAGACGGCCAGAAAATTGGGAGCAGCCTCTGCCGTGTGACCACGGCCAGTCCTCCCCTCTCTGGGCCTCCTCGTTGCTCTAGAATGAGGGGCTTGCATGACAGCGGTGCTTCCCCATGTGTGGTTCATTGGGCCACTTGTTTCTTGGGAAATACACACGTGGCAACCAGAAAAGAAGTTCCTTGGCTAAACAAGTTCGTGAAGTGCTGGAGGAAACAAAGTCAGTTCAATACCTTTATTGTAGGCTTTCTCAGAGCCTTTAGCAAGCCAGTGGGCACTGTGCCTCGACAAGGGGGAAAGTAAGTGTCTTGTCCCCAACCTTGGGGTGGATGGCCACCCGTTCTCTGGCCTGCCCTCTGCCTTCCTCTTCCTCCTCTAGGAAGTCCTGAAGGAAGCCCTCTCAGCCTAGAGCCTTGGGTTCTGTTGGCTGCTCAAAAGCAGCCCTGTGCTTAGCAGGGGCTGGCCATGTCTCTGCGTGAGCTCAGGAAAAGCGGGGCCCTTGCACCCGGCCTCTGAGGAGTAGCTTCGTGCTCAGCGGGGCGAGTTGGCCTCTGGCCTAGTGGAGCTCCCAGGCCCCCAACCCTGCACGGCCGTCTGCTCCGAGTCCCGGGCCCTTCATCGCTCTCCTCACTCCCACACCTTGGCTGACTCCTCTTCCTTGAATACAGTCCCCTCCTCCAGGAAGCCTTCCTCGACCCCTAGGCTGGGTCAGGTGGCCCTCCCCCAGCTTCCTGGCCACACTCTGGCCCTGGAGTGAGGATCCCCGGGTTTGGGTGCAGCCCTCCCACGAGTGCATTCTGTGACTCACTCGGGGCAGCCACTTCTCTCTGGTTTTCTGGCTGACGTGGGGGAGGGCCACACAGCGGCCTTCGAGGCTGCGCCGTGATGGAGCACTGGGGCTGCCAAGAGGGAGCCACGCCAAGCCGTTCCACCTGGCAGCCCGGACTGATCTTTGTTTTGAAGCCCCCCATCTGCACCGGGGCTGTGGGATGCGCGTGGGTGGGGAACGACAGAGCGAAGGATGAGCACTCTCTCAGGGAAGGATGCCCTGGGGGGCAGGGAGGCTGGGAGGTGCTGAGTGATCATGATAATTTTGCCAGATCATAGGCTGTGGGTGTGGAGAGGGGCTGAAGACCCAGTGAGAGCCACACGTCCATTTCCATATGAGGAGGCAGCCTGGTGTGACAGATGGGCCTGGGGTCACACACACAGCAGCTGGGGCTGCTGACCTCACGCACCTCAAACTCATACCTTTACGCTTTCCAGTTTAGGCCCTGGCTCCATCCTTAGCCCACTGCCTCCTCGCAACAGTGCTGCGTGGCAAAGCAGGGATATTACCTCTGAGTGCAGGTGAGGAAAATGAGCTCAGAGAACTTATATAACTTGCCACAGGTCACACAGCCCACCGGTGGCAGAGCAGAGTTCTCCGGCCACTTTCCTTGGCCAGTGGTCTTATTATAAATAGCCACTCCCACTTCCTTTGTCCTGGATCTCCCATTCTCCCTCACTCTGCCCTGGTATCAGCCCCTCCACACTGCCCTCTGGAATCCCAAGTCCTTTGTGGCAGCTCATCTGTTGCTATGGCACCAGATTATGATGTCGCAGACCCTGGATGACTGTGTACTGTTCCTGGGCTGTGGAGTACAGGGACTCACAGAGGTGGGCATTGTCCAAGAGGTGACTGGCATGGAGGGACATGCATCCCTGGAAACAGGGAGCCACGGCCTCCAGCCCAGCTGGGGAATCACCCTGGGAGCTGGAGCCAAGGCTGCCGGGGCCAGGAGAGCGGGGGCTGGCATGGCTTGCTCCGACAGCCTCAAAACACTGCCCAGCCCTCATCACTTGGCAGTGCTGATGCAGCCTCTTGATGAGGGGCTGTCGGGCTCAGTTCACTGGGATGCTCGCTCGGATCCCTCGGGAGAAGCTTTTTGCCTGGTGCCCTGTGTCAGTGCTGCATGGGGAAGCCACTGTCCCCACTTGCCCGGAGAGGGAGGGAACTTTCCCAGAGACTCAGTCTCAGCTCCAACTGCAAATCCTTCCTCGTGGTTACACTTCAGACAGGCCCGTCAAGGTAGTTTAGTCTAGTCCCCAGCCTGAAAGTGGCATGCTGCCTGCCTCAGTTTCCCCAGGGCAGTCCATTAGAGTGCAGGTTGTCATAAGCCCAGGTGTATTCTACTGCCCACTGTGGCCACATCCGGGGGACGCCTCGTGCAGGCCCCTCCGGGCTGTGGCTGATCTGCCCCGGGCTCCTGGCCCTGGTTGCGCTGTGTTTGCCTCTCTGGAGCCCGACTTGTAGCCTGGCCATCTGTGGTGGCGGAGGAGCTTAGTGGAGGGAGCCTAAGCTTTGGCCGCTGCTGCCTGGATTGAAATCCCACCTCCGCCGCCTCCCACCCTCACCCCTTTGATCCTCAGTTTCCTCTCGTGTGAAACGGGATTCACAGCAGCTACCGGCATCGACTATGAGGTCAAATTGTTACCCTGCCTTCACCCATACGTGACTTTGGGTGTGTAACTCAGCACCCCTAGATTTTCCCGGGTGTCCAGTGGGACAGAGGGGCCCTTTGTTGTGAGGTTTCTCGGTAGAGTACCCGGCACAGACTGGCACCCAGGGTACACTCAGAGAGTGCTACAACAGGAAAAACGCTGAGCTTGTGGTGGAGAAAACACACTGCTGTCCAGGTTAGGAAATGCCCCAAGAGCTGTGGTTCACAACTAGACTGCTTTCAGATGGTTATGGGCCATGATTTACCAAAAAGCAGTGTTGGTGTCTGTTACCTCCCACGACCCCTCGGTGCAGGCCTCAGGAAGGGCCGCTCAGCACCCTGGCCTGGGAGTCAGGAAAGCCGGTTCTGATCCCGGCCTTGCTGTTTCCCTGGGCTGGCCGCTTTCCCTCCCTCTCTGAGCCCCCGGCTCCCCATCTGTAGGTGGGTCCTCATTCCTATGGTTTCTTGTAACCCTGCACACACGAAGGTGTTCTTCTAAGGAAACTGGGAAGAAAACTCATCTTAGAATGCAGATCTAGTGCAAAGATTCCATTGAAAAGGAATGCAGAAATGGAATGGATTTAGTAGATCCAGTATCTGTCCCCAAGTCCTGCCAGGCTGCTGGGGCAGCGGGGTGGGGGAGGTGGCAGTCACGTGGTTCCAGAGGCAGCCAGGGGGCCTGTGGGAGGATGAACAAAATCCCAGGCTGGCCACTGGGAAGGGGCATCTGGGGAGAAGGGGAGCCCGGCTCTGGAGTGTGTGAGCAGAGGCTGGGCAGCTACGTGTCCAGTGGGTTCGCTGTGCCCACGGAGAGCTACCCCGATTTAGGTCCTGTGCTGAATGTGACATAGTCCCTACACTGGGGCAGCACCAGGCCAGTGGAGGGACAGGGAGGACAGCAAACCACGACTCTGCGTTCTTGTCCCCATTCTGCTACGCGTTATGAGATCTCAGCCTGCTACATACAGCCCCGGAGACCAGAGGGTACCCCGTTTCCTTTGCTTCTGATTAAGACTTCCAGCCATAAAAACAGCAATGGCTGCTGCTCACTGAGCATCTGCTGTGTGCCAACAGCTCTCTTGCGTGTTCTTCACCCGTTACAGCTTCGAGTTACTCCCCCGCAGAGCCTTTGTTTCCTTCTTCCCATTATACAGAGAAGGAAATAGAGGCTCAGCGGTTAAGTAACAACCCCAAAGTCAGACAGAAAGGGGCTGAGCTGGGACTCAGACGCCCCCCTCCACCGCCGTGGGCAAGCCTCCTCCTCTAGACCAGAAGCACCCTGGGGGGGCAGAAACTAATTTGGGTGTCTCGCCCAGTAGATAGAGTCTCTTCCCACCACTCCTTATTAATCTTGCCGGAAAGCAATCATTCGCCTTTATGATTTATTGCCACCAGATTCTGGTGCTTATGGTCAGGGCCTCAACTTTGAGCTGGTTAGGGGCAGCATGACAGGCAGGGAAAGGGACTGAGAAATGGCAGAAGGGAAGGCTCCCTGGAGGTGGTGACAGTGGGATTGGACTTCGGGGGAGGAGAGAGGTGTGGTAGGGTCCGTTCCCTTGGTGGGGGGATCCTGTTACCCCTGTTGGACCTGGTGTTCAGTAAAAGCCTTTCTCCCCTGTCCTCTCCTCTCAGTCAATGGGGCACCCCGGGCCCTGGGGAGCAGGGAAGGCCATGTGGTTTAGCACATTTTGGTCGCCCCACGGTCAGCTGCCCTCCAGGCCCCCCCTCATACCCATCTTCTTGCCCCGCAGCCAAGAAGACCTGCACGGACAGCGACTTCACCTGTGACAACGGCCACTGCATCCCCGAGCGGTGGAAGTGTGATGGCGAGGAGGAGTGTTCCGACGGCTCCGACGAGTTCGAGGCCACTTGCAGTGAGTCCTGTTCCTCGGGCTGGGGCTGGGGGCCTGGCCCCGTCCCCGGGTTCCTGGTCAGTCTTCCCTGTCGGGAGGCTGGGAGGCCCCAGTGAGGCGATCTGTCGAACACAGCCCCAGACGCACTCTGTGCTCCGTTGTCGGGGGCTCCTGGCAAACAACAGGTGGATCCGGCAGCTGGGGTCCCGTGGCCTGCGCCAGGGCTCTCTTTATCCCCTTGCACGCGGGGCCTGCTCCTGTCCTGCCGGGAGCTGGGGGCCGCCCCTCCAAGCCTTCTGCCCAGAAGTAGCCGTAGCACATCCTCTGGGCCTCCCCTCGGCCTTCCCCACAAAAGGACTCTAATCATCATTCTTTTCTTTTTAAAAAGATTTTATTATTTATTTTAGAGAGGGGAAGGGAGGGAGAAAGAGAGGGAGAGAAACATCAATGTGGGGTTGCCTCTCGTGCTCCCCCTACCTGGGACCTGGTCTGCAACCCAGGCATGTGCCCTGACTGGGATTTGAACCAGGGACCCTTTGATTTGCAGGCCAGCACTCAATCCACTGAGCCACACCAGCGAGGGCTTGTGATTCTAATAGCACTAATGAGACCTGGTGCTTGTGAAGCCTGTGCTGTGGGGCAGGCACTGGGCCAAGCTCTCTGTACACGGTAATTCATGTATCCTCACCGCAGCCGCATTAGCAGGTCCTGTCACTTTCTGAATTTTTCGAAGGAGGGCACCGAGGCTCCAAGAGGTTGAGTGATTGGCCCAAGGCTCCCCAGCCAGGACTTGGAGGCCCCAGTTCTTCCCCGGCCTCCAGGGCAGACTGGGTGGCAGCAAGGCAGCCAGGGGTGCGGTAGAAGGCCCGAGCTGAGCCCCAGGCCTACCTCCCACAGTCCGGGCTTTGTCTCTCTGGGATTTCTTTTCCAGGCCCTAATCCTCAAAGCAAACTTACACCAGGCAGGTCGTTCTGTGACATTTGTTAAATTAAAAAGGAGATGAGAAGGGGGTGGGGAAGGACCCAGTGGTCCTGGAGGCAGAGTTTCAGCAGAGTGAGCCTGAGACAAAAGGCTGGGGTGGGGGGTGGTGATGCAGCACATGGAGGATGGTGGGGCTGGGGGAAACCTGCCTGGGTCCTCATTAGGGGTCACAGTTGCCCCAGAGACAGGGGCAGGGACAGTGGAGGCCGATGTCCCATCTAGTCCCATCTAGGGCTGCAGCTAATGATAACTGGGTTTCCTTGTCTCCTAGCAACAGAGCTACCAGTCTCCCAGTGAGGGAGGGAGGGAGGGAGGGAGGGAGGGTAAGAGCGACCCCAGCCTGAGATGGCCCCTCACTTCCAGGCACTGCAGCCCCCTTGCCCCAGGCCCCATCCTCTGCTTACCCCACCGGGTAGCCAAACCCAGTGCTGCCCTGGAGGTGCATGTATTCTCCAGAGCTTCAAAAGGAACAAAGCCCAGCCACACCCACTGTGACTCTCATCCTCCTGACAACCTTGGACGAGGGACTGATTGATCCCCATTTAGAGAGAAGAAAACAGGCTGGGACAGGTTCACCCACTTGCCTCGGGCTACCCAGCTAACTAGGGACACTGTCATGTGTGCTTGGGGAGGGGGGCTGTGGCCACAGGGGCTCTTCCTCCATCGCACTCCTCAGCCGGCCCGCCGGCCCTCGCTCCAGCAGTTACCGTGGACATTGGGGGGAGAAGGGGAGGAGAGGGAGCCTGGTCACTGTTGTTATCCCGTCCTCTTGATGCCTGAGAGCTTTGCTCCCCCGCCCCACACGTCCCTTTGTGTTTGATGTCCCTTTTCATTTTCCTCCTCCCCTCTTCCCCGCACCAGGCTGACCCCCTTTGCTGCCTGCCCCACTCCCTCATCCTGCCCTGCCCCATGTTTCCTTGTCTTTGTCCCTTTCTCGCGTTCAGCACTTGCTGCCTTCCCATCCTCGGCCGTGTGAGGCCCTCTGGTCTCACCCCTCCTGCCTCCCAGGTCTGCTTGGGACCCAGCTCTGAGACATTGCTGTTTGCCAGCCGAGCAACTGGAGGCCTAGAGAGTCTGAGGGCCTTGCTTCTGAGACACACAGGTTGTTCCTGGCTAGTCTGCCTTTCGTGACAACAGGCTCCACAGGCCTCCTGAGGCTTGAGGGAGCACCCCATGGGAGCACAGCGAAGGCTGCACCCCGGGACTCGGGAGGCCCCACTCTCTGGGCTCTCCCAGTGGTTTGCTATGAGGTCCTGCCTACTTTTCTGCCCCTCTCTGGGCCCTGGTTTCTAACATTCTGGAATTCTAAAGACCACGATTCTAAGATTCCTAGACTCTTGGGATTCTGGGGCCCTCTTCCTTGCCTGTGCCCAGCTGGGACACAAGGCCCAGGATCCCACTTCCCACGCAGAGCTGCGGGTCAGAGGCCTGCAGGCCTATGGGTGGGGAGGGCTGCCTGGAGGAGGCTGGCCAGGGTGGGAGCTCCAGGGTCAGGCAGAACTGGGGGCAGCAGGACCTGGTAAGCTGGCTTGCTCACAAGCAAGCTGACTGAATGGGAACCCCGCAGCCAACCCCACTGCCCATTTAATTGGTGTTGTCATAGCAACCTCACAGCCTACCAGGTTTCGGGGGACTGTGCCAGCTCCCAGGATTGAGCCCTCCCTCCCCAAAGAAAGATTATAGGCAGTAGTAAAGTGTGGTGGGGTGTGGTGTTTGATGTATTTGGGTTCGGGCCCCCTAACCGGTGAGGCAAATTGCCCAACCCCTCTGGCCCTCAGCTTGTTCATCTTTAAAATGGGGGTGATGGTGCCTGCCTTGCAGGCTCCGTGAGGACTGAGCACGCAGAGCATCAGTGCTGGAGTCATCGGCAGTGTCGGTTTTATTGCTACATTCTGACGTCAGGCCCTTCCCCTCACGTACGGTGGCTTTAAATCGGGGACAGTAGAAGTGTGGGGGGTTGCATCACGAGGGAAAGGGATCTAGGAGCAGCTCCCTGTTCTCCTGCTCCTCCGCCATGTCACCTGCCCCTAGCTGGCTGGGGTTTCTCCCAGCTCTCTCTCCTTCCGGTTCTGGATTCTGCGTCTATCAAATGTAGCCAGGAGTCAATGCAGTAGGAAAGCCTGGGACATTTGCCTAATGAAAGGAATGTTTCAGCTCTGATCATAGTTCACCTGATTGGGGCTGCTGACCCACCTTCAGGCATCTGTCGGGAGGGGAGGCAGTGGGGAGAGTGGTTCAGGGTGAATGAGTTACAACCATGGGTGCTGCTTATTGAAAGGGGGGTTTTATTCGTGAATCTTAGAACTTTTCTACCTGGAAGAGGACCTCACTGATGAACTAAGTGCGCCTTCCTCCATAAGGCATGGAAGCCCAGAGATTTTCTGTGATCACCAGCAGGCAAGGGGCCAACCCAGCTCCCAACACTGTTTCTGACCCCGTGTGGAGGAGCTGGTGCAACTGCCCCTTCCACATGCTGGACAGTCTCATGCCCTGCTTTCTGGGGCAGCAGCGGCTGGACGCCGACCGTTCGCACTGCCTGAGCCCTGGTCCCCTTAGAGCTGGCAGTGCCCCTTCGGAGGTCGTCTGCCCCTAAGCCTCACGTGACCGGCACTGCAGACACGCTCGCTCAATAAGCAGCCATGAAGCACTTTCATTCTTTTATTCAACAGACATTCCACTTTTTATTAATTCGTGAACTTATGAATTAGAGAAAGTACCCATGGGTTTGGGTTTCTGGGGCAGGATGCTCTGGGGATCTGCCAATGCCTACAGCCGCTCCAGCGAGCCAAACCCTTGCCGGCTCTGCAGGATTCCTGGCATCTGAACCAGTGGGCTCCTCACTCCTGCCTCTCAGAACCTGGTCACACGTGGACAGCAGGCAGAAGGCCTCCCTCAGGCATCTGCCCTCGGAGAAAAAGACAGAGAGGGGCAGAGACGGAGACAGATGGAGAGAGACAGACACACACATTCGGGCTGGGGGCTGCTCCTGGAGGGCCACGTGGGCCCTGACGGTGCGCATCCCCAGGAGTGAGACCAGGGCCCTCCTGGCCCTTTGCATTTGCATTTGTGAAATTAAACGAGGGCAACTGTTGTTTCCTGAGCTCTGAGTTTGTTCCAGGCTCTGAGAGTAGGAATCTTCAGATGTTCCCCCATTTAAACCACCCGCTGACTCCAGAAGATTATGTCGCCCCGTTGTCAGATGAGGAAAGCCAGAGTGCAAAAAGGCTAAGTGGCTTGTGAAGGAGCTTCGTGTTAGTAAGGAAGGTTTGGACCCAGGTCCGTCTGACTCAAAACCCACACTCTACCTCCTGCATTGTGCTGCCCAGGGCCTTCGGCGTCGGTCGTCCTGAAAGTAACGCATGAGACGGCCAGGCGCCCTGCTGCAGACCCTGCCTGCCTGAGCAGAGGCCCCATGAGCTCCTTCTCATGGAGGGGTCCATGCTCATTAGGGGTCCTTCTGCCAGGACCCCTCTCAATCCCAGGGACACCGGGGAGACCGACAGGGGGCAGGGGTGGGGACCCATGGGGCCTGCTTTTCTCTTGTGTTGGTGAAGTGCAAAAAGTCAAGCAGTGAATTTGGAGTCAAGACCTGGCATGGAGGTCCAGCTCTGCCTCTCACTGCAAGATGTTGAGCAAATGACTCGCCCTATCCAGGGTTTGTTCTTCTCATTCATAAAATGAAAGCAATGATCGTACCCACTTCCTAGGGTACCCACTTCCTAGAGATAATGCACTTCCCAGGGCTGGGCAGTGAGGGGCCTGGCCCAGGAGCCTGGAGAGCAAGGCTCAAGTCCTCACTGTGGGGAGGAGCTTACATCATAACTGAGACAGGGCGGTTCCAGGAGAGACTGGCGGCTGGAACAGCCAGCATCCAGTGGCCTCAGCAGGCCCTTCCCCTCACTGGCCTCTGTCTCCTGTCCTCTAATGGCTGCTCCTTGGTGTGACCTCCAAGGCCTCTCAAGTCCTGGCGTTCCAAGACAGTCCCTTTGCTCTTTGAGGGCAGGAGGGCTGGAGTCAGGCACTGCTGAATCCTTGAGAGCCTGTAGTTAGAGCTGTCTATTTAGGGATACAGCAAATGTCTTATTAGTTATAAAGAAAGGAAGCAGACGGATTGTTTAATCATTGTCCTTGCTGAAAGGTTATGCAATTAACTGTATAAATATTCATTAAAAGTTCAAGCGGCTGCGTGCTGCACCACGTGGGGTCTGCAGGACCAAGCCCCCATAGGTGGTGTGGATGGTCAAGGACACTTCAGTCACCTGGGCTTTGAGGCCGAGTTTGGAGCTGGTTCGGAGCCACTTCTCCACCCACAGGAACCTGGGGGGCTTGATGGAAAGGGTGGGGCTCTAATCAGAGGAACCTGGACTCTGCCTCTCGCTGCTGTGCCTCTTGGGGCCATTCCAGTACATGGTCTCTCTGAGCCTCAGTTTCCTTGGCTGCAGCATGGATGAGGGACCACCCCCCTGCTTCACTCGTGGGCAACACTGACACGACAGTCGTTATGAACCGGTGCCCTTGGAGCTTTTGCTTACAGCCTCAGGGCCTGTTCACCTGGCGGGGTGAGGGTGAGAGCAAGGTGGGGAACCAGCAGGTGCTCGGGCGGGGCAGCCTGACACCCTGGAGGTGATTGGTGAATGTAACTCACTCCCAACTCCCCTGTGAGATCGTTTCCTGATGCCTGGCTCAGGGATACCCGGTCCCTTGTCCCTCCATCCCAGTGCTCTCTCGGGGGCTTGCAAACACGTAGAACATCGCTATCACTTCTCTAGGAGTGGATTTCAGAGAGACGAAGTATCCCATATGTTTTGGACTTGCAGAATGATAACCTGGGTGTTCTCAAAGCAGGTGCATGGGAATCACTGGGGTGGAGGGAGTTGCTAAAATGGAGATTTCTGGGCTCTGCACTCGAAGTCTGCATTCAGTCTGCTATGAGCTGGGGCCAGGGACCCGCATTTCTACCAGCTCCACACCCTCACCCCTTGGTCAGGACATGGGAAATGCCAGTCAGCTTCAGCTCCCTTGTGTTCTGGTGGGCCCTGAAGGGGATGTGCTTCCTGAGGGCCTGCAGCATGCTGGTGACAGAGGGGCTCTGGGAGAGAGATCCCCACTTCCAGATGCCCAGGCCCCTCAACACCCTTCATTGCAGCCCCAAGGCCTCCCCAGGCTCAACCCAACAGTTGTCTGTTAAAGGAAATTTACGTAAAATGAACCCTCTGAACCCTGTATTCCCAACAGGTTGCCTTCTGTTTCATGAAATGCGTTCCTAGGGAAAACTCTGGGGTCCATACTGGGGTCTAAGGAACTCCTCTCTCACGGCACAGTAGTGTTTGGAGACCTGGACTCAGACTCCTGTCCCCACCCATCTTGTCTCTGCCCTTTTCCCCGTCCCTTAGGGCCTGTCCTCCCAGCTACGGAAGAGAGTGAACTGGTCTGAGATCAGAAAGAGCTGAGGGTCAGGCGACAGTCACCCACCACCATCAGGTGCGGTGGACTCTGCCCAGGCTCTGGCCTCGGATGCAGCTGACTCTGAGTCCTCACTCCGTTCTCACCCGGCCGCTGTGTGACTTCCCGCCGGGTCTGCGCACAGCAGTGCTCTGTAGATGCCTACTGAGACAGTGCAGCAGTCCTCATCCGGTACGCTGTGGGCTAAGTGTCACTCGTGCCCACTGGGCTGGGAGTTCTAAGTCCTTCCAGACATTAACTTAGGCATCATAACAATCCTATGAGGTAAGGAATAGTTTTACCCCCACTCTATTGGCACAGAGATAAGGATTGTTAGCTAAGCTAGACAGCCAGTGACTGACTGAGCTAGGATTTGAACCCAGGCAGCAAAGCTCCAGAGCCCATGCCCTCGGGCTCCGTGCTGGAGGCCATAAGATAATCCTCACCCTGCCGAGTCATCGTGAAGACTGAGACTGTGCCCGGCACGTCCCAGAGACCATTGTGTTCAGGCCTCTTGTACACCCTGAAAGGCAGTCAGGAGCCAACCACCAAGGTCTCGGATGCCTCTGCCTTGGCTGGGTCTGTCACATGGGTCACCCTGAGTTGCTCCGGGAGAGCGCCGTCTGCAGCCCTGATCAGGGTCCTCATTCTTTCTTCCGAATTGCGAATCAGCCCTGGGGCTTCAGGCCCCTGATTGAGTGAGTCTCTGATCGCGGCTGCAGTAATTATAGCTGTGAGTCCCACGGGGCCCTGCCACTCCGAGGCTGCTGCGCAGCCGGCTCGCACCATCGCCAGGAGAGGGACTTGGGGAGGGGTGGGTCGTGCCGGGGGAGCTTCTGAGGCCATGTCGAACCCTTCAAATGTACGTGTTCGGATCCTGGAGTCACTGATCCGGAAGGCAAACCGAGGCCCTCATGGGCACATCTCACTCAGGGACACACAGCTGGGAAATGACAGACATGCATGCAAGGCATGGCAACTTCATGTTGCCGGAGCTTAAAGGGGAGGTTTAAAGGGGTGGGGGTGGGGCTGGTGTGGCAGGCAGGGGTTGACCGGATCTAAGAGGCTTGAGTGCCAGGGACGAAGGGGGCAGGAAGGGGAATTAGACAGGGCAGCGGTGGAGTCGGTTAGAGAGTCCAGAAAGTCTTAGGGGCAGACAGGCTTCTCAGATGAAGAAACTTGACACAGGGAACAGGAAGGCTTTGATGGATTCCCAGGGCCTCAGGCCAGGTGGCTGGGGCCAGGCAGTAGGACTGGTTGGCACCATGCCCTGTGTCCTCCACAGCAAAACAGGTGTGTCCTGCAGAGAAGCTGAGCTGTGGACCCACCAGCCACAAGTGTGTGCCCGCCTCGTGGCGCTGTGACGGGGAGAAGGACTGCGAGAGCGGAGCGGACGAGGCTGGCTGTGCCACCTGTGAGTCAGGGTCAGACCCCCAGGGTCTGCCCAGCATGGTCAGGCAGCCGGGGGTCGGGGAGGGGGGAGGGGGGTGGGGCTTGGTCAGTGGAGAGGAAAGGGTGGTGATCAGGACACTAGGAATGGCCAGGCACTTTGGAGACATTTTCTTCTTTCATCCTCACAACCACTTCACAGGCAGCCATTATCATTCCCATCTTGTGGGTGAGGAAACTGAGGCTCAGACAAGCGAGGAAAAGTGCCTAAGCCTGAGTGAAGGCACTGAGATTCAAATTCAAGTCTGGACAGCAAAGCAAATGAGTTTTTGCCATGCCTGACATTTGCTCATCCATTCCATATGTCTCCACTGATCTCTGAGCAAGGGCAAGGAGAACAGACGGGGCCATAGCAAGACCTGGGGGTGGCCTGGACCGGGGTACTGGCAGTGTCAGGGGCAGGCGGGGGGATGGGAGTGGGAAGAAGATGGCAGATTCCTGAGGTGTGAAGGACTGTTGCTGAAATCTCAGAGTTGAGGGCAAATGGCACAGAGTGGAGAAGACATTCCCAGCGGCCGTGGCAGGGACAGATGGAGGTGGTCACTGGGACAGTTCCACATCACTGAGCTTCAAGCACAGGATTATCTCCATCCCAGAGAGCAGGCCAGCAGGTCCTAGGCCAGTGGGGAGCGTGGCTGAGCCACACTCGTCTTAATTTGACGGACACCTACTGTGTGCAAGGCCTGAGCCAGGCTCTGGAAAGGCCTACACAGTCCTCCCCCTGGGAACTCATAATTAATGGGGGAGAAAGACTGGCTGTTGATAACTAGGCTGTGAGGCTGGGCTGAGATACAGGCGGTCACCCCGGAGCTATCCAGGCACTTGCCCATCACTGCCTTCCTCCCCACTTCCACCAACTTCTGTATTTGCATGTTACCCATCACCCCTCCTGGCCCAGGGAAAATGCCATCTCCTCTGGAGGCTTCTGAGTCACAGCACTCTTAAGATTCTAAGGCTGGAGTTTGGATGTGTCTGAAGCCAGAAGCAGCTGGGTGTGCGGAAAGACCCTGGCTGGGGCCAGCCGATTCCAAGCCCCAGGGATGGCATCAGCTCTTTTCTTCAGCTGGATAATTTTGTGGGGCCTCAGCACCAATGAGAATGCTCTCCCCTCCTCACCCCCATAACAGGTGTTTCCTCGGTCGTGAAGGCCATCGGCCACTATTGCAGGGGGTGGGAACAGTGCCAACCAGGGCATGTGGCAGCAGGAACGTTCCCTGTTAACTATAGCAGACAGGGGTGTTAGGAGGTTTCCGTGGGCTTTTCCGCGACAGGTCCCAGCCACCTGGGCAAAGCACAAACAGTGCTCCCCTCCTCCATGCTCAGAGTTAATGACGTTTGTGCATGCTGTGAGTGGGGTCTCTGGGCACAGGCCTGAGAATATAGATCTCAAAGTTGCTGTCAGCTTCAGAACCTTACAGAGAATGCAGCAGAAAGAAGCACGTCCTTTCACAACTCTGAACACAGTGAGTCCTCTCTTTCTGGACATGTATTGCTGAGTCTGGTCAGGGAGGAGGGGAGCTAATCGAGGCATCAGCATAGTCTTGAGGGGCAGACATCACAGGGTTGTGTGCCTTTCCCACCAATGCCTCAACATCCCAAAAGCCCAGAAGGGGAAAAACGCAGCTGTCATAAACTTGACAGACCTGTCGGTAACACATGGCATGAGCTGCCTACATTGTGAAACTGAAGACATCATTCTTTTTTCTGTTCAATAACATGAAAAAAATGACATTTTTTTCCATCAGAAAATAAAAACACAGACTCTTGGCGCCCCCACGTGGAGAAGGCTGGTGCTGTCACCTCCACGTTACCTTGGGCCACAGCCTTGCCCCCACCTTAGCCCCTGGGCATGTTCTTGGCCTCTGTGTAAGGAACCAAGGGAGGGGGGAGGTAAGGAGGGAGCTGCTCTGGAAATAGTTCGTACTCCAGGAGAAAACCAGGAAGCTGGGAGGAGTCAGAATAGGAAGGAAGAGCCCCAAACCTGACTTGTTTCCCTTGTTAGCCTGGACTGTGTGACCCTGGGAAAATTGCTCCCCTCTCTGGGCCTCAGGTTCCCATCTGTAAACTGGAAGTTGGGCTGGTGATCTCCAAGGCCCACAGGAAAGGGAAGCCCAGGACACCAGGCAGGGTCAGTGACCTGTGCCGTTAACTACTGCACATCCCTAAATCAGTCCTCATGCCCAGCCGAGTCCAGCACTCATTCACAATCCACCCACCCACTGAAAAGAGCTCTATGCCAGGCCCTCCGAACAACGCTGGGTTGATCTCAGAGCCAGTCCCTATGCAATGTAATCTGGTCACTGGGCAGATGGAGGAGGATACCAGATCCAAATACCTGAGCATGGTGTGAAAGGCACCCCACAGGAGAGTAGAGGTGGAGGGAGGCTTCTCAAGCTGGTGAGCATGCAGTGTGTGACGAAAGAGGACTTTGGACCCTTGACAGACGAGAGAGCTCATCAGTATAAAGTGTAGACAGTGGTGGGCAAGAGTTGTGGACCCGGCAGATGGAATAGCTTGAGCCAAGGCCCAGAGGTGGAAACGTGTGCAAATGGTCTAGTGTGACTGAAACCAGGGTGTGTGCAAGAATGAAGTAGGTAAAGGGACAGGGCAGCAGCTCTATGCCAGGGGGCTTGGATGCCAGTCCACAGGACTGACATAGATGGTAGGTGCCAGCAAATGGGAGGATGGGGAGGAGCCTGAGCCTCGCTGTTCAGGAACAGCCCCAGGCCTCCTTCCCCGGAAGAGTCAGTGTCCTGTTACATTTCATTCCCTACGAACATCACCAAGTCCTTTGAGACAGGCGGTGCTCTGCTGCTTTAGACTCCTAGTGCCACGCTCCCCCTGGCAGCAGGACAGGAATCCCCACTCCCAGTGAGGCTGGGGAGGCTCAGGGAGGGCGAGTATGTTGCCCAAGGTCACCCCCTATGACCCTAGCAGGACTGGACTGGATGCCCTGTTTGCTGTTCCCGATGGCATGTCTACCAGTCAGCCCCCCAGAGGTGAGGGTCCGGGCCCCTGAAGCGGACCTGCGGGTCGGGTCGCTGGGAATGGGGTCCGGCGGGCCGACCGGCTCTCTGTCCCGCGCAGTGTGCGCCCCTCACGAGTTCCAGTGCAGCAACCGCTCGTGCCTGGCCGCTGTGTTCGTGTGCGATGGCGACGACGACTGTGGCGACGGCAGCGACGAGCGCGGCTGCTCCGGGCCGGCCTGCGGGCCCCGCGAGTTCCGCTGCGGCGGCGAGGGTGGCGCCTGCATCCCCGAACGCTGGGTCTGCGACCGCCAGTTCGACTGCGAGGACCGCTCGGACGAGGCGGCCGAGCTCTGCGGCCGCGCCGGTCCCGGGGCCACGTCCACGCCCGCCGCCTGCGCTGCCGCCCAGTTCCCCTGCCGCAGCGGCGAGTGTGTGCACCTGGGCTGGCGCTGCGACGGCGACCACGACTGCAAGGACAAGTCGGATGAGGCCGACTGCCGTAAGCCCCGCCCCTCCATAACGTCTGCCCCGCGGCGGAGGCGCCGGGCGTCTGCCAGGCGTGTCTGGTGCCTGGCTCTCCTTTCCTGCCCGTGTAACCCTGTTTCACTGTGGCGGAGACCAAGCTCGGTGAAAGCGAAGTGGCTACTCAGCTGCAGAGCTGAGGCCTAAGTACAAGGTCAAGGGTCTTTGGCTGTACCTGTGTCCCTGGATGATGCCCTCGCTGTCATACCTCCCACCCCACCCCCTGTGCTTTTCAGCCCCAGTCACCCACTAGCTCCATCTCAGGGAGACCTTGGTACACCCAGGAACATGTGCCACCCTCCTACCGCAGAGCCTGCTCATCCTTCAAGGCCCCTCCCAGAATCCTCCGACCTTCCCAGCTGGGCTGGGTCTGTCCCCCTGGGCTCCCGCAGGTCCCAAAGCTGCCCTCTCTTAACAGCCCTGTTATGCTACCCTCTGTATTCCTCAACCCATCTCTGCACCCTTGATCTCCTAGAGCAGCGGTCCCCAACCTTTTTTGGCACCAGGGACTGGTTTCATGGAAGACAATTTTTCCGAGGAGGTTGTGGGGGTGGGGGGTGGACAACAGGCAGAGTTCAGGCGGTAGTGCGGCCCTGCAGCCGTTTCTCAACAGGCCAGGGACCTGGACTGTGACGGGGGTGGGAATCTCTGTCCTAGAGGATGGGGAAGCTCTTAGCAGTCTCTGCGTTCCCAAGCCTGGCAAGCAGGGCACATAGTGTGTGTTTAGGAAGCGTTTGCTAAAGGGATGAAGACATTAAAAGATGAGCATTGAGACTAAAAAGGCCACGTGTCCTCTCTGGAGGGGTAGCCCTGGGGAGACGCAGTGGACGGAAAAACAGGAGACCTGAGTTTTAGTCCTGGCTCTGCCAGCCAGAGTGCTGTGTGACCCTAGGTGAGGCTTTCCCCCTCTCTGAGCTTCAGTCTCCCCTATCTGTATACTGGACGTGCCTCGGTCAGGTGTCCTTCAGGAACTCCCAAGCTCAGCCACTGCTCCTGTTCTTTCCAGGGGTGGATGTGGGGTGGGGGGCAGGAGAACTGTTCCAAGGCCATGTTGGGTCTGACCCTCTCTACTTGGCTCCTCCTTGCAGCACTGGGGACCTGTCGTGGGGATGAATTCCGGTGTGGGGATGGGACCTGTGTCCCTTCAATCAAGCGCTGCAACGAGGAACAGGACTGTCCGGATGGGAGTGATGAAGCTGGCTGCCTAAAGGGTGCGTGTGGTCAGAGGCCAAGGGGCAGCATCCTCCACGAGAAGCCCGACCTCTCCCCAAACTCGGGCAGAGAGAGCAGAGTTGGAAGCTGCCTGCCCCTGGTCCCTGTGGGGCACCATTCCCCAGAGCATCACTTGCCCCAGGACACCCGTATCCCCTCCCTGGGGCCCTAGTGGCACCAGAACTGGGTTTTTAAGGACTTTACAAAGGCTGGAAGAAGCCTCGGGGACATAAAAGGGCACTGCAGGAAGTCCCACCCCCAGCATTTGTCCACGCCCAAGGCTCCAAGTTCCCAGACTAGGCAGAGCTGAGTCATCTTTCCCAGGGAGCCCCCTTAATTTGCAGATGGCTCTTCCAGTCATCACCCCTGCAGGAGCAGGGACCCTGACCTACTGGTCTTCTGGGGAAATGTGCAGTGAGGCTGCGTCCCCTCTCCAGGGCCCCGGCACATAGGTCTCCCTCAGGAGGTGGTCGGTCCAGCCCCCAGGGTCTCTGTTGAGCTGCCGCTTTTCCCTCCCAGGGCCCTGGTACTACCATATCAGATGCAGACCCCCAGCCCTGCCCAGCTGGCTGATCTTGGGCATCCTGGTCATCCCTGGGTCCCGTCCTCCTGGGAGCAGAGCTCCTACCAGCCTTGCAGACGCTGTCTGTCCTGGGCCACCGTCTGGAGACGCTGGGGCTGGAGCTCCGCTCACCTTCCATGGGCCCGCCCAGCCCTCCCTGCTGATTGTCTCACGGGCGCTGTCCACTCTCTTGTCTGGCCCGACAGAACCGACATGTGAGGGCCCCCGCAGATTTCAGTGTAAGAGTGGAGAGTGCGTGGACGGCGGGAAAGTGTGTGATTCTCAGAGGGACTGCCGGGACTGGTCGGATGAGCCTCTGAAAGAGTGTGGTACAGTACCTGTCTGCATCCTCCTGCTGGACTAACCCTCCCTCCCTGCCTCCTCCCGGCAGCCAAGCCCGGGCCCTCGCCTGCCCCTCGGCACACCTTCTGCCCTGACCCTCTCTCTCTGGACTCTCATGCTGTCCTGGGGCCTCTGACAGAGCTCTCTGCCTTTGGGCCTCTTGTCCCGAATATCTACAAACAAGGCCTTTCCTTTCCAGCCCATATGTTCAAAAATGATGCTTCGTATCACAAACCCAGCCTCTGCTCCTTTCACATCAGACCTCTGAGCGTGTGCTCACTCTGGAACCTTCTCTCTTACTCAGTGTTTCTGCCCTGCTGACCTAGCCAGGACCCTGGACCCCCCTACAGGAGGGAGAGGTGGGAATAGCAGGCAGGTGGCCCATTGAGGTACGTGCCAAGGCCACCTGGCTCAGGTGAGAGGAGGACAGGATCGGCCACAGAGGGTAGTGTCATCCTGAGCCCCGAGGAGCTTGGACTTCTTGGGACCCAGACTTATAGGTCGGACGTGAGTAAGGAGCGGGAGACGGTCGTCCTGGCGGCTGGAGCTGGCAGGGCGGGTTCCTGGCTGAGAAGAACAGGAGAATCTGGGCCATAGGTGGGGTGGGCCTCCCAGAGAACATGCAGAAAATGCAGTGTGGGCTCTAGGAACATTCATGTCTGAGGTCGGGGGTTTAGACAGGGAATTCCTGGGAGGACAGAGCCCAGGCCAAGCCCTCCTTCCCTCCCTCCCTCCTTTCCTGGCAGACGTGTTTTCACCCTGCACCTCCCCTCCAGGGCACTCAGAGGAGCTTCAGGCTCTGGAACGCCATAAGAATGGCATGTTTCTGCCCCGAGGGCTTGGAGGATTTTTAAATTGATTTTGAAAGGAGGAGTAGCTGGGTGAAGGCCACTCCACCTGCACTTGAGCTTGCAGATTCACACCCCAAGGCGCTTCGGAGAGAAGCCCTAGAAGAAGGAACCTGTGGAAAAGAGGATAGGGAAGCAGGAGCAACTGAGCCCAGCCCCACCCCACCCCGCCCAGACTTGGAGTCAGCAGGGACTACTAACCCATTCGACTCTCTTCTCTCTCATCTTTCGCACGACTCCCCCAAGAGAAGTGTGTGCGCATGTGTCTGTGTCTGTGCTGGCGAGAGGCCAGTGTCTGCATCCGGGGCTCCTTCTCTGAGTCAGGCAAGGGAATCACGTCACATGTCTCCGTGTGTGCTCCCACGTCCACGTGAATGTCTGTGGAGCCCACGGGCCTGTCCGTGCCTCTGCACGTAAGCTGGTGTGTGTGTGCATGCAGACGTGCGCATGTGCTGGGAAAGTGATGCTGCCCCTTCCTTCCGTGGGGGACCACCTGCTCCTCTCCTCCCCTGCAGGTCCCCCAGAAGAATCACCTCCAGGCTAGATAGAACTGGGAAGGCCCAGAGATTCCCCTTCATCCCCCACCCCGGTGCTGCCCTTGTAGGGGAGGGTTGACGGGGAGAGACAGGTCCAGACCCACCACTCATTCTCTCCCTGACCACCTCAGCCCTGGAGGACTCTGTGCTCTCCCTTGTCCCCATCCCGAGCCGTCCTACACCTGCCATTGCATCAGTGCTCAGAAAATACCAGTGCTGAGTTGCTGTACTTGCAAAGGCAGAGGGAGGAAGTGAGTGGATGCATGAATAAGGCAGGGAGTGAGGGGTAAACAGATGAATGGACAGAGCTGAGGGCATGACATGGATGGGGGAAGTCAGGGAGGGCTTGGAGTGACACAAGGACCTCTGGAGGTGATGCCCCACAGAGAGCACCCCAGAGGTACCATGGCTCGGCCCGTGCCAAGGGGCTGGGCCTTCCGGGGCTGGGCCTGGTTGAGTCATCTCCAGGCCTCCCCAAGTTATAAGATTGCTTTGGTCTTCTTCTTTCAGTTATGCCAACATCCCGGGGAAACAGGAGGAGGCCCAGGGGTAAAAGGGAACATTCCCTAAGCATGGCTCAGGCTGGAGGTGGGGCACCCACCGCTGTGCATGGCCTGGGGTAGGCAGCTCAGACCAGCTGTTTGCATGGCCATGGCTGGCTCAGCGCAGCTCTGCTTGGCTTGGCTGGAGTGGTAGTGCATGAGCCCGGAGGGCAGAGGGGTGGTGCAGCACCTTCCCTTGGCTTGCAGAATTAACGTTCTGTGATTCTAAAGCTCAGAAGATGCTGTGAAAACTTGGTGAGCCTTGGTCCTGGCCTCTCTGGCCTCCACTGGGACCCTGCCAGAAGGTGATGAGGGAGCAGATGACGGGGGAACCAGATGACATCCTAGAATCCCTCGTCCTTTGCCAGCAGTTGGTGATCCGGGACCAGGCCTGGGACTAAGTATAGGAATAGAAAGGTTCTGAGGAAAAGTGAAAAAATCCGTCATAGATAATGGGAGGAGAGAATCAATTTAGCGACAGCTCAGTGCAGGAAAAGGCCTGGAAGTCTTAGGTAACCACCAGCTCAGTCGGGGGAAGACTGTTTGGACTCCCGTGTGGTGGCCGGGCTCAGGGCTCTGTCCAGAGTGGGACAGGGGCAAATGGGGTATGTCCAGAAACAGGTACTGATGGGTAGGGGGTCAGAAGTCAGTGCTTCAGGAGGTTCTGAAGGAGCCATTAGACCCTGGTGGACCCCACGCAGCAGAGCTGAGAGGGGAGCAGAAACTGCAGGGAGGCTGACCCTGTGAGGAGGAGCTTTTTTCCAGGTGGAGCCAGCGCCTAGGGAGGGAAGTGGGCTTCCAAGGCCGGAGATGCTGGCGCAGGGGCGTCTCAGAAGGGATTGCCAGGAAAGCTCGCAGGTTAGACGTGGTACAAACAGGATCATTCAACTCTGAGGTCATGAGGAAGGAGGAGCTGGGAGAAACTTGTTTGTGAAAGGAAAAACCTTAAGCAGCCAAGCTGCCTCCAGCCTGGCAGTGGATAGAGCCCTGGCCCAGGAGGCAAAGGACCTGAGTTCTGGTTCCACTCTGTCCTTGTCTGTGTGTCTGTCCTTGAGCAAGGACCTGTCCCTCTTTGACCCACCTCTCGCCCAGTCACCTGGTTAATGAGGCTGAGGCTCATCAAAGCCACAGAGCATCCCGGCTCTATGGGAGTCCCGCCACCCTGAGTCTCTGCTTCAGCTCTGGCTCCCACCCCAGGCTGGGCTCTGGGACCCTCAGGAGCCCGTGTCCCTTCCAGGGTTGAATGAGTGTCTGCACAACAATGGCGGCTGCTCCCACATCTGCACTGACCTCAAGATCGGCTTTGAGTGCACCTGCCCCGCGGGCTACCGGCTCCTGGACCAGAAGACCTGTGGCGGTGAGACCCGCCCCTCTCGCCCCTAGGCAGAAGCAGACCCTCCTGCCAGTTCTGACTTCTCCTCCCCACAGACGTTGACGAGTGCGAGGACCCCGATGCCTGCAGCCAAATCTGTGTCAATTACAAGGGCTACTTTAAGTGCGAGTGCCACCCTGGCTACGAGATGGACACACTGACCAAGAACTGCAAGGCTGTCGGTATGGACACCCCACAGTGTTGGAGGGGGGGAAGCTCAGGGTGCACAGAAAACAGTGTGCTTCCATGTACATGAGGAGTGGCTGTGCACACGCAGTGCTCAGAGTGGACATCACACCCCACGCACACTGCGCTGCACTCTGCCACCTGCGTGGACCCTGTGTGGAGCCACCGGTCCCGCCCACGGAAACCGCGCTCTCACAGCACACAACATGTAGACAGGCTGGACCACGCAGACCACACACAGCACAGGCAGCCCACACAACGAGCCTGGCACCTGCAGACCTAACCTGGGCCAGTTCAGCCAACTGAATTCACTCCCTTTGCCCTGGACACCTGTAGTTGCTGTGGGCGTGGATGCAGCAGCAGGCAGAACAGACACAAATCCTTGTCTGCCCTCATGGGACTTATATCCCAGTGGGTGAGACGGACAAGAAAGCAGATAAATAAATAAAATACAGTGCATGACAGATGGTAATAAGGGTTAAGGAGAAATACAAGGCCGGGAAGGAAAGGGGGAAGTCCAGGAGGGCAGTGGGTTACAGTTTTAGACAGAGTGGTCGGGGAAGCCCTCCCCTTTATGGGAAGGTGACACCTGAGAGGAAGCAGTGGACCCTGTGTTCATCCACAGGATCGGCAACAGGCTTAGGAACGGAAGTGCTAAGGCCCAAAGGTAGGAGCGCACCTGGTTTCCAATAACAGTGAGAAGCCAGTGCAGCCGGAGCCAGGAGAAAAGAAGATAAGTCAGAGAGGTGACTCGGGGCAGATGGCAAAGGTCTTCCAGACCGCTGGGAGGGCTGACTCTCGATCCCGCTCTGAACCGGGGGGAGCCATCGAGGGTTTTGAGTAGAGGAGGGACGTGGGCTGTCCTACATTTTAACTGGCTCCACGGCTGCTGCGTTGAGAGCAGGCTGCAGGGAGCAAGGGAGGAAGCAGCGAAGCCACATAAGAGGTTTTGGCAGTGACCCAGAAGAGGCACTGGTGCCTCGGGGACACGAGAGGTGGAAGGGCTGGATGGCTTTTGAAAGTCAGGACTTACTTTGGAGCAACAGGGTTTACTTATAGGTTAAATGTGGCTTGTGAGAGAAAAGATAGAGCCAAAGATAATGATTCCAGGGTTTTTTGCCAAGCAGCTGGAAGAACAGGATTGCTGTTTCTGGAGCTGGGAGAGATGGTGAGAAAAGCAGGTTTGGGGACTATTAGGTTGATTTGGACATGTTACGTTTAAGAAAACCAGACATCTAGTAGACAGGCGGGTTCACCAGCTTGGAGTTCAGATGGACAAATGCAGTGCACACTGTATGTCGATTATAACACTACAGCAGCCGCAGTAACTGACATGTAGCCTACAAACCCCCAAAACACCACCCGAACTGCACAATATACAATACATACATAAGCACATCGCATGGAACATGCAGTATGTTCTTACGCCCACGTGAGACACATACAACATGGACTATATACGTGTAGTGGAGACAACACACAACTGCCCATGTAGACACGAAACCCCCACAGGTGAACATCTGAAGTGCAGCTAGGTGCTCTTCCCCGGGCGCTTGCCCGGCCTGTCTTTCAGGTGTGCATCTCCTAAACTCCAAGGGTCCTCACAAGACTCGCAGCCAGGGAGCAGTGGGCAGCCTCAGCTCGTGCCGGGCTAGCCCCTGGCCCTGTCTCCAAGGCTCCATTTTCTCTGACTCCCCAGTAAGCTGACCAAAGCCCCACCTGGGCTCTCTCCTGTTGCTCCTTGTATCCTAGACCCTCCTTATTTTACTGTCCCCAGCTTTAACAAATACACTCTCCAAATAAACAAAAGTGCAGCTAAACAAAAACTAGAATCACACACATTGGCTTCCTGCCACAGTCACAGCTCTCAGGTATACCGCCTGAAGGTGTCCTGTAGCCCATCTCCTGCCTTCAGGAAGGTACGGTGTCATCGCCCTCATTTTGGGAAGAGGAAAACCACACAGCTTGTCGGTGGCATAGCTGGGCCTCGAAGCCAGCTTCCCCCTTTCTCCTTCCAGCACTCGGCCCCCCATTTTTCTGTGCTCTCTGTTTGTACCATGCCTTCCCTGTCACCCCAGCCCTGCCTTTGAAATAGTCTCCACCGTTACACACAGGTCACACACCCGGCCCCACATGGCTCGGTGCTGGTCCCACCCAGCCTCTGGGGAACACGTTAGCCCGGCACAGATGCACAGTGACAGGAACCAGGTGGCCTGCAGACGTGCCAGCTGGAAACAAGGAGAGGGGGCACGGACAGCTCCAGGAACGGGCCTTGCCACCTGGACAGTGCGGGTGCCGGGAGTGGCCTGCCGCAGCTGAAAACAGGCTGGGTCTCACAGTCTGTGTCAAGCACCAGGCCCGGACAGGCCTGTGGCTCAGTGCCCCCCCGTAGGCAGTGTAGCCAGGATGTCTAGGTCACTGGCGGTCTTCCTAAAATCTAATCTTAAGTCTTTGCATGGGTTTAGTGTGTACATGGGCAGTTGTGTGTTGTCCCCAGTGCACACATGTAATCTGTGTCATATGTGACACGCATCCCACCCCTGCTATTGCTGCAGAATCAAGTGCAAACTCTTCACCCAGCTCACAGGACCCGTACGGTGAGGCCCCTGCCAGCCTCTGCTCTGTCCCCAAACACACGCTGCACAGACTAAAGACTCACTTCCCTTGAGTCTCAGCCCCGCCGTGGTGTCTCCTCCACACTGGAGCCTCAGCCTTCTCTCGGAAACACCTCGTGCTCATCTTGCCCCTTCTCGAACTGTTGCCGTGGAGCCCTGAGCAGGGGAGGTGGCAGCTGCTCGGGACAAAGGCCTTCTAGGTAGAGGGGACGACTTGAGCAAAGGCCCCGAGGCAGCAGAGGTCTGCCACGGCTAGGTAACGACAGGTACCCTGGTGGCTGGAATCCTCAGAGGGTGAATGCTGAGGCTGACGGGGAGCCTGGGGTCACACTGCCTTCGGTGCAGACCTGAGGAGGAGATGGGGAGTCCTAAAAGATCATGGGGGTAGTTTGTGTAGTAAAAAAATGAAAAATCCTTTGGTTGTGCGTGGTGCTTGTGCACCGTGCTTTTTGTAGCCTTTATTCCACCCGCTCTTCTGACCTGTGAGGTAGGGATCCTCACTTCTGTTCTACAGGAAAATGAGGCGTCACCCGGCAAACCAGTGGCAGGGCGGTGGTCTCCACACCCCCGCCCCTGCACTGACCCTCTCCCTCTCAACCTCCCTGCATGGCAGCTGGCAGAAGCCCGTCCCTGATCTTCACCAACCGGCATGAAGTGCGGAGGATAGACCTGGTGAAGCGGGACTACTCGCGCCTCATCCCCATGCTCAAGAATGTCGTGGCGCTGGACGTCGAAGTTGCCACCAATCGCATCTACTGGTGTGACCTCTCTTACCGCAAGATCTACAGGTGAGCGGCGGCAGGTGCCTGTCACCCAGGCCTTGGAGGGGGGACGGTGGAAGAGGAAGAGAGGAAGAGTGGCCTCTCAGCCTCTTCTGCCCCTGGAATTCCCTGGAACAGAGTTGGGGCTTAGGAAGGGACGCAGAGTCACAGTGGCTGTGGACCTGCCGGGACTTCAGCCGAGGGGCTGGTCTAGGCTGCGGGCTCTGCTGGGAAAGCAGCTTTGAGCTCCACACACCTGACCTCTGGCGGCCTACTGGGGCCGCGCAAGACACAGGAAACGTGCAGTCAGGGCAGAAAGGAAGAAGTCCCGGCTTTGGAGAAGACTTCCAAACCAGCTCACGTGTCTGTGAGTTGGGTCCTGAGGACTCACAGTTGACTCAGACTGCCTAGAGGATTCCACTCATAATACAGTGACGTCCTTGTGAGGACAATGAGGGGGAAGTACAGAGGAGGCCTCTGACCCAACCTGAGGGGCCAGGGAAGTCTTTTGGGGTGAAACAGCCCCTGTCCAGCCCTTCACTGGGTCTGTGACACCACAGTCGGGGGACTGTGGCTCTCAGGAAGTCTCCTCACGCCCACAGCCCTCCCTAAGTTTTTCTCAGTACCCCAGCCTGCCCCCTTGGGCAGCCATGGTCTTTCTGTGTCCTGCTATCCACCCACTTAGCAGACCTGCCAGTGACCAGGCCCTGGGGAGACTGTTGGAAGAATGACGGAATGGATGAGTGGGTGGGTGGACAGACAGACAGATGGATAGATGGATAGGAAAAAACAAATATACCACGTGCTACTCACTGAAAACTCAGTGTCTCGCCCCCCACCCCTGACACACAGAGCTGTACTCAGCTCACAGTGACCCACAGGAACCACTCGAGCAGTACCTGCCCCACAGTCGTCACTGAAGGAGGCAGGGTCGCATGACAGACCAGATGTGGGAAGTCCAAACGAACTCCCACGTTCTTTTGGGGGGTTTTAGGTTCTGGCTTGGGAGGGAGGTTTTGTGAACAGTGGTGCTGTTCTCCGAGGTGGGAGCTGTGGAGGAGAAACAGCAGTGGGTTGGGTGGTCCAGCTGCTGGCTGCAGGGAGGGGAGGGGAGGGGAGGAGTTTTGGATGCATTGAGTTTAAGGTGTCCGTGGGACACTGAGGGGAGCCGGTTGGCTTTACAGCCTGGAGCTTAAGAGAGTTGTCGGGACGGGAGAGTCAGAGTGATAGATGGCAGTGGCCACTGTGGAACTAACTGCCCAGAGAGAGGTCATGGGGAGAAAGAAAACCTTGGGAAAAACAGCATTTGGGAGACAGCAAGTCCTGTTAATGTTGCCCCGAGTGTCTACTGTACTTTCAGCCCATTCTCTCCACCCCACTGGCGTAGCCTCCCTGCAGACCCTCGTTACCTCTCACCTGAGTGCAGTGAACAGCCTCCCCACCGGTCTCCCTGCCTTCAGTCCCTCCCCTTCCAATCCGTCTCACAGTCCACAGGTGCCACAGCTACCTAACGTGCCTGTCTGACCGTGTCCTCTTCCTCTTTAGTCACCTGCGCCAGGGCAAACCCCAGCTCCTCAGCAGGGCCTGCAGAGTGCAGGCGACATGGCCCCTTCCCATACTCTCTCCCAGCCTCCCAGCCCACCGCCCTGTGGCGTACCTCACCTCCCTCAGTGTCCCACACCTCCGGCGTTTGCACACACTGTCCTCTGCTTTCTGTTCTTTGCGTGCCCAGTGCACCAGTCCTTCTGCAACCCTGCAGGGTGATGTCATCCCCGTTTCTCTGCTGCTAGAGCCCCAAATACTTTCCATGCTCACATTATACTGTAATCATCTGGCTATAAATTTCTATCCCCCATTAAACTGAGCTCCGCTGGGCCAGAGGCTGTGGCCGATTCAAGCCTATATGCCTACCCCGGTGGCCTGGGGATGTGTTGAATAGAAATGAGCCAATTCAGAGCCAAGTCCTCTAAAATCCATCGCCATGGCCAAGAGGGAAGAGAGGAGAAGGGTGCACAGGAAGCTCCACAGGGACACGTGGGCAGGACACTTGCCCCATGGCCAGCTCTGGTTGCTCCTAGCGCCTACATGGACAAGGCCAGCGACCCGGCGGAGCAGGAGGTCCTCATCGACGAGCAGCTGCACTCTCCGGAGGGCCTGGCGGTGGACTGGGTCCACCAGCACATCTACTGGACGGACTCGGGCAACAAGACCATCTCCGTGGCCACCGTCGATGGCAGCCGCCGCTGCACTCTTTTCAGCCATGACCTCAGTGAACCCCGGGCCATCGCCGTTGACCCCCTGCGAGGGTGAGTGCTTTTACCCAGAACTTCCCTCTACCCCACTGGCAGACATGTGAGGACTTTTATGGCAGTCCTCACATGTCTGCCATAAAAGTTGTCTTAGGGCTTTGGGAGGCCCCAAGCCCCGCAGCCCATTAACCCCCAGCCAAGGGTTCTTGGGGCTTCAGTCGCCAGGGTTCTCCCAGGCTCTGCCACTCACTCATCCTCCCAGAGAAGGAGAGCGTCTCAGAGCACAGCCTGGCAGAGCGCCTGGGGCAGGAGGTCCGTGCTGAGGCTGCTCACACACTTCCGAACACAGGGGCCCATTTCCTCTCCTGTGGCCTGTTTCCTCTGGGACAGTTCTGCCCATTAGAAAGTACTTTTTTATTGTTGTTTGTTTGTTTTCTCATATTCCCAAATCTGCCTCCCTTTGACTTCCTCCATAGTCCTAATGTAAGTACATGAGGTGAAAGCATTCAGCCCAGTGCCTGGCACGTAGTAAGTACTCAACGAATGTTTAGCAAAAAGGAAGAGGAGCCCCAGACAGTTGTAGCTGTGTGACCCTGGCACCGGGGTCACTTCCTTCTCTGTCGACTGGAAAAGTAGGAAGAGGGTGACAAGGGCCTTTCCCACCCTGGCCTGCTGGGGCTCCAGCCGGAGCTGCTGGAAGTGGGAGAAGGGCTCCCAGACCCGCCAGCGGAGGCCACTGGACACAGGGAATACAGACTGCCCAAGACTCAGATGAGGGGAAGGCTGAAGCGCCTGCTGACTCTAAGGTTTGATGGCTCCACTGGGTTTCAGAGGACTTCGCAGCCCCTGCTAAGCATAATCTTCAACATTCAGTGGCTCCGTGAGCCCCTGTGATCCAGACCCCCCCGTCATGTGCTTGACAGGAAGCCCTGGTGGGTCCTTCTCTCTTTCAGGTTCATGTACTGGTCTGACTGGGGGTACCAGGCCAAGATCGAGAAGTCTGGGCTCAATGGTGTGGACCGGCAGACACTGGTGTCAGACAGTATCGAGTGGCCCAATGGAATCACCCTGGGTGAGCCCTCTGCCTCCCTGAGCCTGGGGGCTGTTCCGGCACCTGGTCCTGACCGCCGTCCTGAGCCCCCGGGTCTTGTGTCTGCATCCCCCTTGTAGCGCCAGCGCCCATATTTGCTGGTGGCCACCCCTGCATGGCCTCCATCTGAGGCCCGGCCCAGAGATGTGGGCAGGGGGAGGTACAGAGGAGCAGAGATCCAGGCTGTGGTCCCAGCCCGGGTCCCCTGTCCCCTTCATCCTCTCCAAGACTTGCTGAACCAGCGTTTGTACTGGGTGGACTCCAAACTGCACCAGCTGTCCAGCATCGACTTCAGCGGAGGCAACAGGAAGATGCTGATTTCCTCCCCGGACTTTCTGAGCCACCCTTTTGGGATAGCTGTGTTTGAGGTGAGCCCCGAGAGGGGAGGCATGGCCCCATCAGGAAGGCGGAGCCCAGAAAAGGTTTATTCAGATAGAATAACACCCCCAAGAGTTTTCCAAATGGAAACGAAGGGACGGGGAGGCCAGCTGATGGGTTGGTGCGCACCGTGTGTGCTGCCTCCGCGCAGAGGCTCTGCGGCCGTCGTTCGCCTGGCAGCCTTCCGGCGCGCCCTTCCCAGACCGTTCTCCCAGAGCGCTGCTCAGAGGTAAGCTGCTGGACTGTGTCCATTTCCCCTCGGAATGCCCAGCACCCCACTCGTAGACAGCAGGTACCCAGTAAAGGGAGGGAGGATGAAAGGATCTCCATTTCCTTAGAATCATTTATTGTTGGGAATGGCCTGAGAGATGCTATTCAACTGAGCACACTTTTACTGACACTTCCTGGACCCTGGGGTCGTAGAAGGGAACCAGACATTATCCCAGTTTTTGAGAAGATCCCAGGAGGGTGAGAATGAAGACCCTCCCGTGTTCTGACCCTAACAACCTTTCTCCTTGGGAAATGAGGAAGCAAGAACCAACCAAGGTCTCAGACACCTGCCTCTTCCCCCAAACTAACGGCCACCAAGGGGAGGGAAGGCAAAGGGACAGTGGTCTGTGGCAGACACTGGCAATGTTTGCTAAGATCGATATCACACAGCAATGCTCTGAATTTATGGGCAAAGCCCCACCTGCAAGTTCAGCCCCCACTTCAAATGACAGGTGTATTCAGACGTGTGTATATGCTTATGCATATGTGTGGCATGTACATGTAAAGTTTGTGTGTGTGTTTGTGTGTACACATGAATGCATTTAAGAGTCCATTCCTGTACATGCTGGTGCTTGTGCATGTAAATACGTATACCAATACTGGGACAAGTGCTTATTTAGGGACAAGTGTGCCTTTGTGTGTACGTGAGCATGTGGCAGTGTGTCCAGATCATGCATGAGGCTGCACAGCTGTACCTGTCAATGTGAATGTGTCCCCAGATGAACACCCAGGCTTATATGGACTCGCCACTGGATGCAGGGAATAGTCCTCAGTAGCTCCCAAATCCCCACCAGTCTTGGTCCGGGGCACCAGTTATGGTAACAAGTGTTAGAGACCCAAACTTAGGTTTGTGCTGGGCTCCAGGAAGCAGGCCTAGTCAGGCATTAATGAGCAGCCTCCAGGCCAAAGCACAAAATCACCAAAGAGCTCTCAGAGAGAGGAGGGACCCAGAGCACGTGGCACAGATCAGAGGCCGAGAGCCCCACTGTGAGCCTGTGTGTGAGGGCGAACAGGGGGAGATGGCAGGGCCGCTCTCCTGGCTGTGGTTTGGGCCCACGCCCTCAGACCGAGGCCGTGGAGTTAAGGCTCCAGGCCGCCCATCCTCTGCATCTGTACCCGCAGGACAAGGTGTTCTGGACGGACCTGGAGAACGAGGCCATTTTCAGTGCAAATCGGCTCAATGGCCTGGAAATCTCCATCCTAGCTGAGAACCTCAATAACCCACATGACATTGTCGTCTTCCATGAGCTGAAGCAGCCGAGAGGTGAGCCTTCCTGGCCTCAGGCCCCCTGCCTGTGTCCTCTCCCTCCGAGAGGCAGGCTGGCTCACGTCCGTGGGGCAGTGTCTCAGCGCCCCCAGGAACAACGGCAGCGGCCCCCTCCTCGGCAGAGTGCTCTGCTGTCATGTATTTCATCTCCTTTTGCCTCAAGCAAGCTCTTGGTGAAATAGTCCTGGGTATAAAAAATATATATATAAATGCCCTATTTTTGCCAGTCCCACGGAGTGTGGGTCGGTATCATTGTTCTCATTTGACTGTTGAGGAGACTGTGGTTCGGAGAGGTGAAGTAGTGCTAGCAGGTGGCAGAACTGAGCTCTGATTTGGTTTCCAGAGCTGCTCCTGCCATGAGGAGCACACTGCTTCTCATCTAGTATTTGTGTCCATCTGAGAGTAGCGTAAACTAATATATCCTGTGACCAAAGAGTGAGTCAGTTTGTCGGTTAGGAATAGAAGCCAGGAACCTACACTACTTGGTTGTCCCCCCTTCTAGCACCAGGGTGCACTGAGTCTGACTGTCACTGAGGGGGCGCTGCCAGGGTGAAGGTGGGAAAACACAGGGGGGTGAGGAGACGGGGCTGCTGCCTTTCTCTAAATCTAGAAATGTAAATAGGAAAGAGAAGTGGTGGGTGGCATAGGGGAAAAACATGGATTTTGGAGTCTAAAGCACCTCAATTTAAATTGTCTCCAAAATTATTAGCAGTACAGTTTTGATAAGTTTTTTCTCCTTGTGAGCCTGGGCCTCTTTTATCTGTCAGTCTGGGGCATACTGCCTACCTTCAAGAGGTGATATCAGGATTGAGTGAAAGTAGGGATAAAGCACCAGGTACAGTGCTAGAAGGTGCCCGATAAAAGCAGTAGAAAGCTTTTTGGGAGGGGCGTCATCCTCTGGAGGAGGGCAGACCTGGCCGGTCCCATCTGCGCCCCATCTTTCTCTCTGTCCCCCTCCCTCCCATTAGCTGCCGACGCCTGCGAGCTGACCGCCCAGCCCAATGGAGGCTGCGAGTACCTGTGCCTTCCTGCTCCTCAGATCTCCGGGCACTCTCCCAAGTACACGTGTGCCTGTCCTGACACCATGTGGCTGGGCCCGGACATGAAGAGGTGCTACCAAGGTGAGCGGCCCCGCCGGCGCGGGGGGAGGCCCCTGGCCACGCCGGACCCCATCCTGCTGAAACCCTCCCTTGGCTTCTCGGACACTGTGCGCTCCTGGTCTCCCTCCGTCTGCCTTGGCTTCCGGTTGCCTTTGCATGCTCCTCTTCTCTTGCGTCCTTGAATGCTGGTGTCCCCCAGGGTCCTTCCAGGGCTTTCCTCTTCTCACTCCCCCCAACAATGCACATATGCAGGCAACATTTTTCATTCATGTTCAGGGACTCTCTGGAACCCCCTGAAGACTTCAAATTAAGAGCCCTTGACCCCACAGCTTTATTTGCCATGTACGCGCACATGAGGGTGCATACGAGCTCCCCACTTTCTTGCCCAGAACTTAACACACTGCGCAGAAGCCCTTTTGTGACGTGACTGGCACTAATAGTTAGCACTTCAACCACATAAATTTATATTTTTCTCCAGTCTTGATGCAGGGCCAAGGCCTTTGCTTTGAGTCTAAGTCTGCTGTGTCATTTATGATTTCCAGATCCAATTGTTTAAAATGAAACAAGACTTTAAACCTAATGGTATAACAGTATGTGTGTAAAATCCTTCTAGATGTGTATGACTTCCCCTCCTCCCAGGCTTTTACAGTGGTCTTGTCCAGATCTGGTTCTACAGCATTGCTTTAATCATTCACCCTGATCAGATGAGCATGCGGTGTAATCACAGACACGGCACCTGGGACACAGCTAAAGAAAAGACCATAGCTCCTTTGGGAGGACTCGGGAAGGCTTTTCAGAGGTGGCCTTTGAGCTGAGCCATGAGGATAAGTTCCTAAATAGAATCCATAGAGGCAATAATTCAGGCACCAAAGCAATAGAATTCTCTGTCCAAGTGACCTCCATGGTATTTCCCCTCCAGCACCTCAATCTACCTCAACCACGACGTTAGCCTCTACCATGACGAGGACAGTGTCCGACTCCGCAAGAGCCCCGGGGACCCCCGCCCACAGCCCCACGGACCAGAACCACAGCACCGAGAAACCAAGCCTGGCAGCTGCCGTCCCAAGCTCTGTTAACGCCCCCAGGGCTTCCAGCATTGGCCCCTCCACCCCAAGCCCTGCAACCAGCAACCACTCCCAGCACTGTAAGGAAATGAGTTCTGCCTTCTTTCATGACACAGGGAGCCAGCAGGGGGGACTGTGTGGGGAGGAATGTTGGTATCTCTGAGGAGGAAGCAAAGGGAGGTGGGGGGCCCACCTGCAATATAAGAGTCTTAGTGCCCCTAATTTACAGAGGGTCTTGAAGGAAGCTACCTTCTTACCTCTGAGCCTCAGTTTCCCCACCTACAAAGTGGGATAATAATAACCCTTCTCCTGCCTGCTTCACGAGATACCCACAAGAGTCAAAGGAGACGGGGGAAACAGGAGTGCTCACACACACAGCCTCTGCCGCCCCGGGTGTGTGTCTGTGTGTCACATGCTATGACATGTATACGAGGGAGTGTCCCTTAGATCTGGAAACTTCAGCAGCTCTGCTCTCAGTTCTCAGCACCCTCAGTAGGTTCCTCAGATGATAACATCCATAAATAGTCTGCTTGTGCCTCTTTCCAAACCCTGGGATAAAAGTAATTAAGTTCACCACTTATTAAATCATCAGAAGCAGTAATTATCACTGCCAGGAAAGTTCTGTTTCATTAACCAGCAAATACCTTTTTAATTGAGTTACCTGCCAAGGGGAGTTTATTTAAGAGGCTAAACTTTCCTGTACACGTGTGGCCCAGAAACCCAGCAGCTCTGCAGCCCCTTTCTAACCGGGCCTGTCCTCCCAGTAGAAGCTGGACATGCAGAGTTGAGCACTTCCCCAGAAGCTGGGAGAGGCAGGTGGGACATGTGTGAATTCCAGTTCCTCTCGTCCAGGGCCGAGCCCCTGACCAGGAGTTCCTGCTGGCTTCATCACGCTCTGGGGCGCTTGGGGCCTGAGAGGGAAACCAGGGCATTGCCACAGTAAGCTTTGTAAGCAGTGAAGCTCTTTTCTGCCCTTAATAATTAGTCTCCTGCCCTGACTGGTGTGGTTCAGTGGACTGAGTGCTGGCCTGTGAACCAAAGGGTCACCGGTTTGATTCCCAGTTGAGGCACATGCCTGGGCTGCAGGCCAGGTCCCAGTAGGGCCTGGACGAGAGGCAACCACACACTGGTATTTCTCTCCTCCTCTTTCTCACTCTCTTCCCCTCTCTCTAAAAATAAATAAATAAAATCTTTTTTAAAAAGAAAAAGAATAAGAAAAAGAATAATTAGGCTCCCTTAGAATAACTTGGAGACACAGGTTCACTGAGAGGATGGTATCGGGGCCACTGCCAGGGGCAGCCCTCTCCCCTCTGGGAGCGAAAGTAGATGCTAGTCTCCTTACACCTCAGAGGGCTGTCGTGAGGGTGCATGGGACAAATGCCTCTCAACTACAAAGTGCCCTGCAAACGTTACAGTGAAGATGGTTGTGAGAGTGAAAAAGATAAAACGACAGGCTTTTTAAAGACTACAGTTCACTTTCGAAGCACTTTTCAGTTTAGAATGTGCTTTTATATACCCCGTACCCCACTCCCTGCCCTCTGTGAACTGAGCAAGGCTGTGTCAGGCACTGTGCTGAGTATGCCTTTGACATAAACCATCTCATTTCATCTTTGCAGTATCCCTAGGATATTAGGGATAGGAGGTAGGTAATACTATCCCCAATATAAAGAAATATGTTTATAATATATAATAACTTGCCCAATGTCACACAAGTAGGGAGTAGTAGAGCTGGACTTGAACCCAGGAAGTCTGACCCAGGAGCCTGTACTCTCGACTCCACTACACAATGTTGTGTCCATTTTAGTTACTTCTTAAAATTAAACTGGTAATGCAGACGGACAGATGGACCACCAGAAACAAGAGAGACATCATCCTGCGAATGTTTGTATCTTGCAGATGGGAACGAAGGCGGCAAGATGGGCTCAACAGTCACCGCCGCCGTCGTCGGGGTCCTTGTGCCCATGGGTGAGTGTGGCCCCAGATCGCCGGGCAGAGGGGGGGCCCGCCCAGGCCTGGGGGAAAGCTCTCGAAGGGCAGAGCACTTAGCTCGCTGACCTTAAAATCTGCCCTGGCAGCCTTCCTGCCCACCTCCCAGTCCTGATTTAATTTGGCTTCTTAGCTTGGCACACGGGGCCCTTTAGGACCGGGCTCCAGGCAACCGTCTGCATGCCAGCCACGTAAGGCTGAGCTGCAGGCTTCGTGGAACAGCGGTGGCATCTCCCGCGCTCGCCCCTTCCCCCGGTTCCCAGCAGTGTCTGGCGCCTGGGAGGAAGTCAAATGTTTGTTGAATTAATGAGTAGAGCCTCCTACCATTGCTTCAGCCATGCCATCCTGCGTTCTTTCTGCCCGGTCTTCCACAGACATTTATCAGGCCACTACCATGTACCAGACTCTGTGATAAGGGGAGGGGAGGTGGCTAAAAATGGGTGACATGGTTCCTGTCCTCCAAGTTTATAGTCTTGTTGGAGAGACAAACTTAACACAGATATTTGGGTTATGGCACGGTAAGCCTTAAAATTAAGCCACACGTGGTTCAGTGGAAGTGCCGAGGAAGCATTTGACTTAGATTTGGGAGAGAATAAAAGCAGGCAGGAAGGTTTCCTGGTGGAAATTACAATATACTCGAGCTGAATCAGCCCAGTGAGGAAAGATCAAGAGCAACCCACGCAGTGAAGACAGCGGGAGCCAGGCCAGGGATGGGGAGTGGCGGCGGGGTTGGAGGGTAGGGGCTGGGGGGACTAGGAGATCGCCTGGCCAGAATGTGACATTGAGTTAAATCTCACAGAAATGCCAGGGGCTGATTCATCCTCCCCACCCCAATGTCCACATGGTCTCCTGCATCCTGTCTCACACCTGTGTCCTCTCTGGGTGGGATCTTTGGGTTGTGATTGTCCATTCATAGATTTACCTCCTTTACTGGCCCATGAGTAGTATCTCAAGGTCAAAGACTTTGCCCACTTATCCTGGAAATCCCCGATGTGGTGGTGAGTTAGTGAGTGAATTTTTTTAAAATTCTACACCATGCAAGGGACTGTGCCAAGTGCCAAGGATCCAGGAAAGAAAAAAAAACTTAAAGAGCTTTCAGTCCTTAATCAGACTTAGTCATACAAAAGTGATTACGCAGGGGTATTAATACACATTATGTGCTGTAATAGAGGCATGGTACTCAGGAGGAGAGGGAGTGGTAAATACTCCTGGAGAAGATGGCATTTGAATCAGCCTTGAAAGGCTTCAACAGTCAAGACGATGGTGAGGCTATTCCGGCCTTGCGTTGAGTGGAGTGAGTGGGAATTACTCTGAGTGCCGTTTAGTGGGAGAGAAAACCACCCCCTTCCTGGCATCCTCTGCTCTGTCAAAGGGAGAAACGTGGGTGTGCTGTTTCCTTGATAATGATCCACTCTGACATAGTCAATATTTTACATTTCTGTAATCTGAGGAAAGAAAGACAAGTATTCAATTCTTTCCCTGCTTTTTCCCCCCTGCCTCATAAGCTTACTAGTTATTTGTATTTCATCCTGAATGAACTGCCTGTTCACAGTCTTTTTTTTCTATCAGTTCTTTGTCTCACTCTCACTTATAGAAATGTTTGTACATAGTGAACATGAAACACGCTACAAACCTTTTTTCCCATAATGCCGCTTGAAATTTGTTTATGGTATCCTTTGCTGTACATAAATTAAAAATTTTAAAGTATCAGATATATTAATCTTTTGTGTTACAATTTTTGGGTCTTGCTTAGGAAGGTTTGCCTCACTCTACATTGTTAAAATAGCTCCCTACATACTTGTCTGCTGCTTTAAACATTTTTTTAGTATTTAAATACGAGTGCATTTCATGCATTTGGAATTTATTTGAGAGTATGGTGCAAGGTAGAGGTTTAACTATTTTTTTTCTGTGTGCCTGTCTCGTTTTCCCTGGACCATTGCCGAAGAGTTCGTCCTTTCCTTCTGATTTGAATTGTCATCTTTGTTGTAACCTGCGTGCTCACTCATGCTCTGATCTGCCTCTCTGCCAGGCACCCGTCTGCTCCGGGACACTGAGAGTGCAGCTTCGTGCCGTGTTCTAATATCTGATAGGACGTGGTTATTCTTGGAGCATTTTCCCCCACCATTTTTATTCAGTTTCTCTTCAAGATGAACTTTAGTGTCATCTTGTTAATCTATAAAAATTATGATGTCAACTTATTCTTCAGATATATGAATTGATGTGGAGAGGATTTGCCTTTTTACAACATTGAACTTCCCATCGAGGAATATGACATATCTCTCCATTTTATCTGAGCCTTCTTTTATGTCCTTCAGTGGGATTTTGCAGATCACACAGGACATGCACATACCTTATTGGGTTGTCCCAGGTTTGTTCTATAGTTTTTGATAGGCTATGATGGAATGTGTTCTTCTTCCATTCCATTTTCTGATTAGTTATTGCTGAATAATATGAAAACCATTGATTTTTATGTGATTCTTGATTAACTAAAATTATCTCTAAAAGTTTTTCATCTGCTTTTCTAAGATTTCCCAGACATACAATATCTGTTCAGAGTAACAGTTTTGTTTTTCCCTTTCCCATATATGCACCTTTCAGTCCTTTATCTGGTCTTATTGAATCGCGCAGTCTCCAGAACAATAACCAGCAACAGCAATAACCAGCATCAGCAATAACCAGCATCCTTTACTTGTTCCTATCTTTAATAGGTATTAATTGTTACCACCTTACAAAGTAGAAACCCCCTCTGTCGCACCCTGGATAGCTGTCATCCAGCCTCCATGTAAATGCTCAGGGTGATTGCTTACTGTCTTAGGAAGGTACTTGCTTCATTTTTGCCCAGGTCTGTTTGAGAACTCCCTCCTTTAAGCATTAACATATGCATTTATGCTAACTCAGAGCCTATGCTTCCCTCCTCTGTCTTCTTCTTGCAGAGCCCCTCCAATTTGGGGAGAGAATGGTTTTCTTAGAGAAATCCGGGGAAACAGCAGCATTAGGGCTAAGGTGTGGTGAACAAATTCACTCATTCACTCAGCACATGTTACTGAGCACCTACTGAGTGCAAGGCCCTGGGCATAGAGAGAGAGAGAGAGAGAAGACACAGTCCCCGCCCTCAAAGAGCTCAGGCTAGTTGGGGCACACATATGTAAAGGACGGCACCTTGGTCTGGGAACACGTGAGGGAGCAACTGGCTCCACCCTGAGAACTTGAGCAAGGTTTCACATTTGAGCTGGATGTGCAAGATGAGTAATTAATGAAGGACAAGACAGGAAAAGGGCTTCCAAGTAGCAGAAAAAGAACATGCAGCAACCGAGCCTAAGGAACAAGAACAGTAAAATTAGAGAGGTGGCAAGAGACGCATTGATGTCTGAGCAACAGGCTGGAGCCTGCTGGCAGTCCAGTAACGTGTCTCTTCCTGCAGCGGTGATAGCCCTCCTGTGCATGAGTGGCTACCTGATCTGGAGAAACTGGAAGCGGAAGAACACCAAAAGCATGAACTTTGACAACCCAGTGTACAGGAAAACGACAGAAGAAGAGGATGAAGATGAGCTCCACATAGGGAGGACTACTCAGATTGGCCATGTCTATCCTGCAGTAAGCATTTCTTGCTGGAAGAGTTCCTCCCTCCCTCCCTCCCTTCCCTCTTCCCTCCCTCCCTCTCTCCCTCCCTCCCTCCCTCCCTCCCTTCCTTCTTTCCTTCCTTCCTTCCTTCCTTGGTTCCTTGAAGCATTTATCAAGAACCTACCATGTGCCAGGCACTGTAGAGGCCCTGGGGACACAGAAATATTGGGGCAGGTAGTTGAGTTAGGAGGGTATCGGGACCATCTTTTCACCTAGAGGTTCTTCCTGGAAATAAAGACACTCAATGTCTTTCTTTCTCCCGAGTAAGTTTTCAGAACCTTTGACCTGGAAGGGTAACTGTGGCCATTCAATTCAAATATATTCATTTCAACAAGTGCTGTATGCTGGTTATGAGCCAAGCACCACATTAGGTGCTAAGTGTTTCGAAGTAAAGAAGGAATACACTTGCTCCCAAGGAGCTGGCGGGAGTTAGGGATAGTCACTTCCTATTGTACGACTGTGTGCCAAGTGCCATGGTGGAAGCTCAGGCGTCCTCTCTTCCAGGAAGCCTTCCCTGGCGTTCTTTGTTTTCCCACAGCCTCTTTCCAACACAGCACCTGTCACACTCTGGTCACCTTGTCTTTTTCCTCTTTGGCCTTCCCACCAGACCGTGAGCTCCTTGAGGCAGGACTGTCCGATTAATCTGTATCCCTGATGCCCAGCACAGCATAGGTGGCTCCCAGCAAATATCTGAACAAACCAACAGGGGAGCTGTTAATTCTGTTTGGGAAATTTGGCAGGAAATGCCTCACAGATGAGGTGACAGATAAGCTGCATCCTTGAAAGAGTCATAGCAGTTTTCCATGTAGAGAAGGAAGACAGTGGCGTTCCAGAAAGAAGCATATGCAAAAGCCGAGATGCACAACAGAGCACGGCTTGTGGGGGAGCAGGAACTGCGAAGTGGCTGCAGCAGGCGTCGTGGTTGTGTAGCAGAGGCAGGGGGCTGCGTGTAACCACCGAGGTCATCCAGTCCATCCCCCGTCAGGCAATCAGCAGCTTTGATCGCCCACTGTGGGCAGAGCCCTGTCTTGGGGAGACCAGAGAACTGGAAGACCCAGCCCCTGCCCTCAAGGAGCTTTTTGTCTTGCCGGGAGAACCAAGGTCACAGCTGCACCAACTCCCGAAGAACCCTCTTTCCGAACGGCCTGTCGTCAAGTGCAAGGTAGGGCAGTGCCGCTCTGAGTCCGAGGGGCTGATGAGTAAGGGTGTGACCCAGGCAGGTACGGCCAATCCTAGAAGGCTTTCTGGTTCTGGAAGGCCGCGACCTGTAAGCTGGGTCCTGGGGCAAAGAGAAAAGGTGGGCTAGTTGCAGATGAAGAAAATGGCATGTGGAAGACATGATTGAGCGTGAGCAGGGCAGGCAGAGTTGCTGCTGAAGCAAATTGTACATGGAGGGAGACGTGGCAAGTGAAGTTGAGCAAGTGAGGGGGGCTGACAGGGGGCCTCGAGGATCCTCAGCCCGGGCCAATCCAAGCAAACAGCTGCCTAAGTAATTCCTAAAGATCAGAGAGGGCGCAGTGGAGGAAATGTTGAGCTTGGAGTACAGAGATGACTCCCAGTTTCACTGTTCCATAGCCCTGTGATCTTAGTCACGTCTCTGCTCACCTTTATTTGTAAAATCGGAACAATAACCCCCTTCTGTCTGCCTCCTAAGTTTATGAAGTTCAAGGGAGATGGCACACGTGAGAGTGCTCTGTGAGCTATAAAGTACTCTGCACGTGGGAAGTGGCATTGTTTCCAGAGAAGGAAGTGACCACTCAGGAGGAGCCATTCCTAGTGAATCTGCAGTAGAGCTGAGGAACAAGCTCCTGCCAGTGGCAGAGAAACAGGGTAGGAGAGCGAGGAAATCAACATTTAGTAAGAATGTACTGTGTATCAGACATCACTCCGTGTTTTACGTACATTTGCTTGTTTAGTCTTTACAGTAACCTGATGAAGTTGGTGTTATTAGCCTCGTTTTGCAGATGAGGAAAACAGACTCAGAAATTAAATGACACCTAGGATCACAACTAGAAAGTGGCAGAACCGGGATTTAAACTCAGTCTGTATATTCACAAAAACCCATGCTCTTTCCACTGTATCATGGGGTAAATGATACTCTGGAAACCTCAAAAACCTTTTCTTCCCCCTTTCCCTTCCTTGGGCAGCTTCATCAGCACTTCTGGGACCTGCCCTTGACCTAGAGATCTGTCTTAGAGAGAGTAGGAGGGTGACTAGACTAGGAAAAAGACTCTCAAATATCTGTGCCAGTGGAGGCAGGCCATGGCACTCCCGTGGAACAACAAATAACTGAAAGGTGATTTGAAGGCAGTGGAGTTGCCTTCTATTGTATGTGTACTGTCCGGAGATGGAGGACGCTAGTGTGGTTGTGTTTCATCCCGGTTCAGGGGATCTGGAATGCTCTGGACCCTGTGTGTGTTTGGTGCTATATTTAGCACTCCTCATACATTATCTCATTTGATTTCCCAACAACCCTAGAAAGTAGGTCCTATTATTATTCCCGTCTGATAGATGGTGGAACCGAGGCTCAGAGGGATGAAGTGGTTAGCCCAAATTCACATAGCTATGAGGAGATGCTAAAGCACAGGTCTGTCCAAAGGAGGGTATCCAGGAAATGGGCGAGTGGGAAATAGGATTACAACAGGACCAGCTGGGGAAAGCCTGGAGAAGAAAATACTCCGAAGGAAGGGAACTCACTCTGCAGATTTCAAGTGCATCAGTGGAGAAGTCTCTGAGTCTAAGAGATAGAATCAGGGAACATCAGGAGATATAAAGAAACAGATTTCATGTCACTTTGGGAGAACACTTAAGTCCACTGTCCACAATGAAAGAGACTGGCTCAGGGATTAGTGGTTTCACCATTTGTCACAGAGGGAGGCCTAACATCTAATGACTTGAAAGTCGAGAGTAAAGGAAAGAGGTATGGAATTTCATTGACCTGCATCACCTTCCAATTCTGCACAGTCAGTTGGGAGGCTGCAGCAGATTACCTTCCTAACTGTGACTAGCATGCTAGAAGCAAGCAGTTAATAACCTAGGGTTAAACACATACCAGAACTAACCCACTGAAGTTGAGCAAACCTAAAATCCTATAAGGGCTGTGAAAGTTTAGATCTCTGCAGCCCTCCTTTGCAAAAACACACAACAGAATGATGGAAAAAGCCAAAGCTCTGGATTCACACAGATCTGGGTTTAAATTTTAGTTCACCCACTTGCTACGTGATCCAGGACCAATGTTTAAGCTCACTGAGTCTCAGTATTTTCCATCTGTAAAATAAATATGACAAACCTGCCTCTTAGGGTAGTTTGAAGGTTGTAAGAGTTAATGCCTGTAAAGTAATAGAATGCCTGGTGCCTTATGCATACTCGATAAATAACTCCCGTGGGTCTAATGAGGATGTCTTTGCTGTGTCTCCCCAGCGAGTGGCGCTGAGCCTGGAAGACGACGGACTGCCCTGAGGACAGGACCGCTCCCCGCGTGCCTCCCAGGATTCAGTTCCATGCACTACGCTCTCCGGATGTTGTGTGCCTGAGTGGACGGGTGTATGGGTCTGTGTGTGCGCGTGTGTGCGTGTGAGATTTATTTTCTAATTTATGTTGCAGAAAGGTAACCACAAAGTTATGATGAACTGCAAACATCCAAAGGATGTGAGAGTTTTTATATGTATAATGTTTTATACACTTTTTACCTGGTTGCACTACCCATGAGGAACTCATGGAACGGCTACTGCTGAGTGACTAACGTGACATACAGAACCAAACGGGGCCGACGGGACAGCAGCTCACTCATCATTTAAAAACTATGTCTACAGAGAGAGTATTTGATTTGGGGGATTTTTTAGGTTTTGGAGTTTTGGGGGGTTTTTTGTACATAAAAATGATTATGCTTTGTGGCTATCCATCAACATAAAAAAAAAAAAACACTTCAACTCCCTCCCCAATTTAGATTATTTATTAACCAACTTCAAAAATAAGATTAGTTCTATAAATGAGTTAGAGAAGTGAGAGTATTTATTTTGGGTGTGACTGGCCCACCACACAGACTGTGTGTGTCTGTGTTGTGTGTATGTGTGTGTGTGTGTGCAAGAGAAGAATCTAGAGCAGCGGCACACCTGTGGCTGTGGTTCACGTACAGATAGATAGATATATGTTAAAGAGGGTATCTGTAGAGTTCAGAGAAGCCTTCGGAAATTTGACTCAGAAGACAGATACCAAGGAGCGTGCAAACATGTAGTGGAAGTGGCAGAATCTTTCCACCTCGTGCTATTCTTGGGATCCCAGTCAGTCAGGAAAAGCCCTTCAGCTCACCCGTGGCTCTGTGACTCCTACCTGCGCTCTCTCCTGTGTGGGCAAGGCCAGCGTGCAGACTTTACACAGCAAGGTTCTCGTGAGTTCAGGTGAGAACATGCCTGAACCTCGGCTACTCCTTGTTTGAAAGTTCAGCATTTCAAGTTAAGTTCATTTTCCTTCAGGACACTTGGGTTGAATTCATTAAGTTTCCGCTGAAGCACCCAGAGGGCACTTTCCCTGCTTACAGGGAACTAACTGGAGATGTTTCCAGATCAGCCCAAGTTTGCTCTAGGAAGTGGCTGAGGCACAGAGCCTCTGAGAGAGGCTACGGATGAGGACAGAGATGGCGGGATGGGCTTTGGTACATCTCCACCTCTCCCTTCCTCTCACTCCCCACCGTCTCCCTCAGATGGGGAGGTGAAGCACGTAGGTTAGTTGCCATGGTGTGTTCATGTGGAAGAAACTAATTTGGGGCTCCAGTCAGGAAAGTGGACAAGCCTAGCATCCTGTTTGAGGGGACATGGCAAATGCAATACTACAGTACACTGGATTCCACTGTGTTCACGCAGGGATTGGCTTTACTGCTTTGTAAATAAAAGGAAAAACTCTAGGCATATGTACAGATTTTTTTTTCCCCACTATGGATACTTTCTTTGCTTTTCCTGGGCCTTGGGGGAGGCGGGGAGAAGTGCTCTTTTTCTCTCCGTGGGGTCTACCATTGAAAACATGACCCTACAGTCCCAGAAGGAAATCAGTCCCTTCTGGCTCTCTCATCCCAAGGTCTTTTCTTCACTCTGCTGTTCTGCCACTTCACGCCCACTGGACAACCGGGGACAAGATGTGACACAGGAGTGTTTAGCTTAAGTAGGAGCAGAGAACATGTATCTAACCTTAACGTACCTGGAACTTGACACATTTAAGCAAATTCCTCTCCCCTACTTCCCAGTTGCCCCCAGTGCAGTGAAACTTGGATGTCTCACCAGCTCAGTGCCCTCTGAATTTCAAGGCAGACACTCTGGAGCCCTATCACACTGTGCCTGAGACCGTTCTCTGCGTCGCTCATGGTCTCCTCAGTTCTGAGAAAACAACCATATTCTGGAGCCTGAGCACTATGCTTTGCATAAACAAGCAGTTTCCTCATGGTATGTATGTGTTGGTAGTCCTGAAAGCTCCACCAAGGGGGTAAATGCAATTGACCTAGAACGATCGTTACCAAATAGAATTTTAAAAAGAGGTGGCCAACTCCTATGGAGCTTAATCACTTACTGCTATGCTTTCAAGAATGGAAAGTAAAATAATTTTTGACTGAAGAAAAATGAAGAAGTTGAAGTTTACACAAAACAAGCAACTTTTTCTGTAACGTGCCTCCAGAAAAATAGAATTTCCTGGGGAAATGATAACAGTGACTAATGCCAAATATCTAAACTTTCAGTTGGGTCCTGGCCTTCACAGAAAAAATAATGAATGGGGTCAGGATGATTCAGCTTGAGAGCTCAAAATGATCATGAAACACAACTTTGTCAGAGACACCCATGTTTTCTGAATACGCTGCAAGTGCAATTTGAAAGAGGCAGCTATGGGAGCAGCCTATAAAGAACAAAACTGTGGAATACTCATGCGTCACATGGCAATAAAATAGGTGAAATCTGAGGAGTCAGGTTCGCCCTCTAGTCCTGAAGGTTTTTAAACCTCATTCCAAGGTTTAGTCGCATTTCCGTTGCCTTTTGCTCCTGCGCCATCACGTACCAACAGTCAGGAGCGGGTGAGAGAGCCATTGGACTATAAAGCTGGAAGGAAGCTTAGAGATGATGCCGGGAGGGCAGGAAATTTATCAGATAATTTTTCTCTATTTCAAAGAAATTGGGCCAGGTCCTTTTCCTCCCTTTTCTTCTCCAGTTGACTACTTGGCCCTGTCTGAACATTGCACCAAACCCACTACCTATCTTTCCAATGGAATTATGAAGGCACTGGCAGAAATGGCCTTTGAGATACAGGGAAGACTAAAATTTCATTTATTTACTTTCGATAGCGTGATAACTTATAAAACAGGTTGAGATAACCTGTAACCTCAGAATGAGATCAGATTTAAATTTATGGCAATAAGCACTATCGATCCTTCCTATTCTCTGTTTGCAACTGCAATATATATCCATTCACTGAAACCATTTGCTAGGTACCAACCGAGTGTCAGGCACTGCGGATGTACAGATCAGTCAAACGTTGTCTGTCCTTATGGAGCTCACAGTAGCAGTAGAGGAAGGTATACATGGAAGCAGAAAGAATTCTTGTCAGGGTACTGTTATGGTACAAAGAGGTCATTTCTACCCAAGGAGATGAGGAATAGGGTCAAGAAAGCCATCACAGGAGAAGTGACCTTAAGCTGTCTTAAAAACTAAGACACAGAGGCATGAAACAGCATGGGGACTTGAAGGAACTGCATGTAATTCACTAGAATGAGCAAAAAGCTCATGGGAGACTTAGCAAGAAATGAGGCTGGGTGTAAAGACAGGTTCAATATAAGCACTTTATAGAATACTTCTGTTTAACTTCGGCTTCAATTAAGCAAACATTTCTTGGTCATTGATTGTGTATGAGGCACTAAGTGCACGGGAAATCCATCAGGATGTGTGGCCAGTACTTGCAGACATGAGAGGCTTCAGCCTTGAGCTTTCCAGTGGCCAAAGAGAAACAGTTAATTGCTTTTCATATATTTGAGTTGAAGTTTTTTGATATGTCAATGAAAACTAATATAAGGGTAGTAAGATTTTCACAGAAGCATCCCATGCTGTCAGAAGCCTATGAGATTTTCTCAACAGTGAGAAAGAAAGCGGGATATTTGGAAGACGTGGCGCCTGCAGCAGGTTCCCCAAGCACTGACCAGTCGGTGCTGCTGGAAATGAGGAGGGGGTGCAGGGATGTGAGCCCGCCCGCCTCGCTCCCTAACTTCAGCCATGCATTCATCATTTCACACTATAGAAATGGTTAGCAGTTAAATGTTCCAGAGTGAATTGTTCTACCAATGCATGAAGATTAAGTATCAGAGTCTTCTCACACTGTATTTTTAGGGTTTGGGGGATTTTCAGGATATGGAGAACTTAGAGGTGGAGGAATTACAGCTTCAGATTTTCAGCTAATAAATCAGGAAGCTCTATTCATTCAGGCTATGCACCATGTGCATAGTCAAGAATCACCAGAAACCCTCTGTATTTGCAAACACTTTGTGCTATAAAAAGTAATTTTAAAAGAGCCACCTGTATATGTATATATATATATATTTAAAGACATGAAGGTTTTGATACTTTTTTACAAAAATTACAAGAGAAAACAAATACCTGTACAAACCATGTGTTTTAAAATAGCGCTTTGTTCTGTACAAGCTGTTGTTAATTTGGGGGTAAAGTTCTGGTTTGCAAACTCCATCAGATTGTACCCAGATGAATTTTCCTTGTTTGTCTCTCCCACGCACACACGCCCTCAAATTACCACATTTAATGTTTGATGTAACAGGCATGTTAGAATGTTGGGTCACACTAACCATTTCCAATCTTTCTGTCTTGTCATTCTATGTTCTGCTAGCTTCTGTGCTCAGTCCCCTTTGCAGTCTGGTTTGTCCTCCAGGGGCAAAGGGTGGTGTGTTGCATCTCACTAGCTGTACTGACATCATCTTGGTGAATTAAAAATCAAATGTGGGCATTTGTCAAATCAGTGCACTGTTTCTAGAGAAAGATTAAATTCATTTTTTAAAAATCTAAAAGTATTGTCTCATTGTGATGCCTTAATGAGGGAAGAGTGAACAGTCATTGATTGAGTCCCTAATGTGTATCCAGAATTCTACATAAATTACCTTAATCTTCATCAACAACCCTGTGACATAAATACTGTCAATATTATAATTCCTGTTTTATAGATGAGGAGATGAGTGAAGGAACTGCCCAAAGCACACAGTTATGTTTAGTGCCCTCAGCATACAGGCAGTGCACAGAGTGTTCGTGAACAGGGGGTGTCCTCTGCTGAGATTTCCCTCTGCCTCTCCATCTGGCTAACTCCTTTCAGTCCTTGAGCCCTCCAGGAAGCATTCTCTGCTCTCCCAGACCCAGACCTAACTCCTAGGGTCAGGTAACTCTATGCTTCCACAACAAGTTTGGCCTATTGTATCCCAATACTTCTGCCCTGCTTCCCACTGCCATGCCACTGAGGATGCTTTTGCCAAGGTCACCCAGGACCTCCTCGATAATCTTGTAAATACTTTAGTCCTATCTTCCTTGAGCTTGGAAGGAATATTTAACATTGTTGGCACTCCTCTCTTGGGTACTCTTATTTCAGTTTACATGACACTATACTCCCATTTCCCCCCCAACTCTCTGGCCGCATCTTAATCTCCTTTGCCCACCCTTTAAGTTACAATACTCCAGCTCAAATTCATCCACTTTTGTATCTCCATAGCCACTACTGGGGTGTATGTCATGGCCATCTTGGATTCTCATCATTATAGATTAATAACTACTTATTTTAATTTCATACTTCTAATCTTTCCATTTTGCAATCCAACCTACAACATTGCAGCCAGAGTGATCTTTCTAGAATGCAAATAGGTCATGTCACTACCACCCCTTTCTACTTTACTGCTTATAGCCCCTTCATCTGTTTCCTGATGCGGACACCAGCCCACAGTGTCCACTGCATTATAGATGAAACGAGACAAATTCCCACGGACTACAGAAATCCGGTGGAGAAAAAGGAATGACATGGCCACTTGCTCAGTGAAAGAGAGGGCCGGCCCAACCCTTGCCTGGACAGGCTTTTATTGAGTTTAGTTTGCATAGGAATACAGAGCATACATGGAAAGCTCATCAATCATTGTCAGGCAGTAATGATCAAATAGATAACATTCAAAGAACTCTGAGGGTTTATTCTGAGTCAGGGTCAGATAGCTAAAGGGCCATAAAACTTTGGGGAGCAAACTCATTTCATGCTTGGACCCTTATCATTCAAATTGAGGGTATTTACAAAATAGGTTTCATAGGGTTTTATGCATTCTTTCTTAGGCCTGGTCCCCAGGGAACCCGCCCTTTGCAGAATAGGACCGCACCCACCTCCAGCATTGTTTCAGGCTTAAGTCAGGCAGGGGAAGTAAGGCAGCCAGGAGATTAGGAGACTTCTGGCAGACAGAATGAGGACTCAGGCTATGTCGAAGCTGAGGGGCGAGGGTCCATCACCCCCTTTCTCCATAGCTCCCCAAGTCCTTCCCTGAGAGCCCCTTTCATGCCCATGCCTGTCTTAGGTCATCCCTCCTTTAAGGAATCTACTTGTCATTGGCTAACCGGGGCCAAGCACGGTGAGGTGAAAGGGGGCAGAGATGGTGCCCCTACAAGGAAGACAAGCTTTGTCTCCTAAATGGTTTATGGTCCCAAGGTCTTTTCATTCAGCCTTAGCCACCGTGGAATTACACCTTCTGAAACCAGGCAGGGCTGTTCCCAACAGTTTCCCTTGCATTAAAGGCCAATTCCCTTGGGTTTTACCCCAAACTAATTAATATGGCTTGTAATGTCCTTCATGATTTAGCTGCTGCTACTTCTCCAACCTCATTACTGTATTCACAACTTCATTCTGAATT